TATTTTATTTTTTTTAGGATTTTGACTAACAAGGCAACCGAAGCCAATGAGGGCAAGCCTCTTCCCCTGTATCAGAAAACATTATGTGGTTTGACTGCTGGTACAAACTTTATACTAGAGTGTAATTTGATTCAATGTTGAGGAGTACTTACTGACCGTTTGGTATAAATGCATGGTTTGATCTGTTTCTAGGGGATGTTAGTAGCCCTAATAATTCTTTACAATTGGAAAGCTGCGGCACAATACTTGTGTTGGAATTCCCTAAATCCTTATGCCCCATTCCTGATTTTTTGCAGTTGATCCAGTTTGAAATGTGAATTCATTACTGATCCAGTTTGATAGAATCGCAACCGCAATGAAGAAGAAATAAGGAAAGGTAATATTGTCTTGTGTTGATAGTAGTTAAAATGGTTTTGATACTTCAAATACATGTGTTTTTACTCTTTTTCCTTGTCATTTATGAAATGTGATTCATTGATCTATTGATCTTGCAGCTTTAAGGACGTTGTATCTGAAAGACACACGGTGATGTATGCGAGTTCTCCGTTGTCTTATCAGCCTTGTCTTTCGCTTGCTGCTGCTGCTCCTCCTTGCTACTTCAACTGACCAGGTTTGTAGAGGTAGGCTCAAGCTCATAATCTGCTTTGGTGGTGGTTTTTATTCTCTTATATTTTCCCCTTTCAGAAGTAAATAAAGCTGTTAAAAATAAAGAAAATAGGAGGGTTAGGCAAAGGTATCTTTGGTGGTTTGCACTTTGCACCAGGTATGCAAAAACGCGGCAGGCTTCTTTTCATTGATTATGCAACTGCTTCCCTTTGATTCTCATTCGGATGGTGCGGCTCATAAATGAAACTCATAATCAGACTTTGAGTCGTGTTCAATAATCAGCATACAGAGTTTTAGTTGTAAACTAAGCACATTGCTTTCCTTTGGGGGTTTCTTCTCAATCCCTGATGCAGCTTAAAGTTCTGAGGAGTTGTACTTATCCTCTGTTTCCAAGCTTAAAGTTTCTGGAAAGGTGCTGCAGGTATGGCGTGTATGTCACAGACTAACAAAGTTGACAAGATAATTTCTAAAATTTCATTTAGTAGTATTTGACAAACCTGTGGATTTTGATGCTTAATTTTATTCTAATTGCCCTGCTAGTTTCATCCCAGTTTTGCTTACTGAATTGGTTTTTCTTTGTTTCTTTTGTCGGATGCACAGAAAAAGGGGAAGCCATCAGTTTGCTAAACAAAAATATCTTTACCTGCAGCTCTGACTCATGATTCCTGAGTACCAATCTTCTGAAACATTACAGCATTCTGTTAACATTCTTGGCAGTTGTTGTAAGATATGCAAATTCATGATCATTATTAAATACCATCACTCAGGATTCGTTGTGGAATATCAGATTTCCTGTTAGTATAAAGAGACAATTGCTTGTTTGCGCTCATCCAGACATAGACGACCTCACCTCTGCAACAAAAGGATTTCCTTGGTTCTGTCATTTCATATTTTTTCGGGAGATGTTAACCACGAATTTTGTTTGTGCGACTTCTGCAAAAGATTAAGAACCTTGAGAACCATTCTCAAGCAGCTTAAGGCCAACATTGTATTTGTGTACTTCGATGCTGGAGCCTTCATTTTCGATCTCATTGTACCCAAAAATATATAGAACCTGATCTTCCACTGACTTCAAGATTTTGCTAAAAACAATCAAGTTGGGTTTTGTTGATTATGTTTTGGAAAAACAAACGGAACTAAGAATTCCCGAAGATGAACAAACTGCCAACAGTCGAACATTTAAGATGGACTCATCTGTTTCAGATCTTTCTTGGGGGACCTTGTGGAGTTTCGCCATCAATATGAGGAACTTCAAACTATCTGCTGGAATCATGTTTTAGAGTTGGGGTGGTGGGGAGTCTCATTGACAACCTACTAGTTGATGGTAAACACTCTTTTTGCGTCATTATTTGTTTCCATCATCATCAAAGACATCACAACCACCAAGGCCATCTTTGTTTCCAAAAGACCAGAAATCAATATCAAAACCCAAGAAGTAATAAACTGGGAGGTCACCAGGACTTGAAAGTCTGCTGCGATCGTAAACAGCTCCTGGCAGTAGCAAATGAAGTCGTAGTGTTTATTGATGAAGCAAGAGCAATTATAAATACCAACTCACGAGAGGATCGGCAGAATTGCAAGTTGTTGCATTGTAGGTATGCCAGGGATAGGTGATTAAATCTACATTGCCTACACAAATTTGACCATGAATGTTAATTTTTCATCATTTTTTCTGTGCGCACATGGTGTCCAATCTCGCAAACAGTGGACAAAAAGAAAAGTACTTAACCAAATTTTTAGATCAATTCAAATTGTATGGAGTATATATGTGTGTGTGTATATATATATATAGATCTTCATTTTTAGTGCAAATTAGACAGTAATTTTAGGACGAACGGAGTGTATGTATGGGACAATAAAGCCTAGAATAGCTTGGCAGAATCATTCCCATATGACAATATTGAAATTAGGATAGTCGAAGCCATAGTGGATATGGACAAAGATGTAGTATTATTCAAATAAAGAAGAAAAATAAGAAAAAAAAAATCAATTATTCAAATAAAGAAGAAAAATAAGAAGATAAAAATGAGCCCAAGACACACCAAGAAGAAAAGAAGAATTTGAAGAACAATAGCTATATAAAGTGGAGATGAATTGAAGGATTATACTTTAACTAAATTGAATTCAAAGACTGAGGTACTTCACTACTAGATTATCATAGAACAATAGATATATTAAGTGGAGGTAAAAGACTGAGGTAAAACTCCTATTTATAGGCTTTCTTCACTACTAGATTATCGTAAAACAATAGATATATTAAGTGGAGATTAAATGAAGGATTACATTTTGACTAAATTAAATCCAAAGACTGAGATAGAAATCATATTTATAGGTTTTTTTCGCTGCTAAATAATAATAAAAAAACTAACTGTATCAACTATTTAACACTTATTATCTATAAAGACTAAATCATAAAGTAAACAAGAACTTCTCTCCTTGATAATCTCATCTTCGTGATAATTATGTTAAATACCTTTAACGAGTGGCCATGTTGATGTTGCTCCAACTGAAATACCCTAGTCGACACTCTTTGGCAACTCACTGAAGAAGAGAGTGTACAGCTGCTGCAGAGGAACTTATTCCATGGAAATGAAAGCTGGCATCCGTAGGTTACAATTCTTGGCACTAGTTTTCATTGTATTCTTGTTCCCAAGCATGAAGTATGATGATGCATATTGATGTTTTGCTTGAAAAGGTTAGCTAATTCGATCCAGAAGTTTCACATCATGCACTTAAGTTCCCGTCCCTGAATATGGTATACTTGGTTGATTTAAAACAATACGACCAAATGAAATTATTGTTCTAAAAAACGGAGGAAGGAGATATGCCAATTTAGATGTTCACTTCTTTGAAGATTGACGGCCATGTGCCAGGATTTAAATTGTGTTCTTAGAAAATTACAATCGCACCGCATATGCAAGGAATCCAAAAAAAAGAATTTGCGATTGTAAATTGGAGAGGCTGTTCTGGAAACATTTGTAAAACTGGCATCATGGCATACGGCAACCATTAGTTATAATTTTTCAGTATATTTATCATTTCTTTTTATTTTAATGAGTTGGTTTTAAGCAGCCAGAAAGTTGAGAAATTATTAATTTATCATTTTTTTATTATTACATTTTCTTAAAAAAAAAAAGAAGAAAAGTTTGGTGTGTATTTTGTTTGTGCTAATTCCATTATTCAAAAAATATGAAGGCGTTGCGTTTTCCTACGTCACCTTAATTTTCAATTGTGAATATTTTTTATTCCACCAGTTTTTTGTTGTCTCTCTGTTTCTATATTTATTTACTGATTAAATACGTACCAGTAAGTTTCTTTGTTGGCAAATTAGTTTTTATTTTTATTTTTTTTGAGAGCGTTGGCAAATTAGTTATGGTGGTCGCAAATGTTAATCATGTTAAGTTGGTCGTACGAAATAATTAAAATAACAGGTTTCTTTTAAAAAATAATGGAAAGAACTAAAAATAGTTCAACTTGAAAACTTTTGGGTACAAAACTTCACACATTTATTATTTGGGTTGAATATGTTCACTGGTGGCACCAAAATACTTAGAGCATCTCCAATTAGACACCAAAACACTGTGTTTTGGTGTAAATTTTGTGCTCCAAGTAAAAAAACTAAATTAGAGCACTATTTTGATACAATGAATAAGGTTACATCAAATTTGGTGTAAATTACTAATTTTACTATCTTTGTACACTATTTTTTTTTAATAAAAAAACATGATTTGATATAATTTTAGACTTAAAAAATAAATTATATTATGAAAGTGATATCATATTATAGGATTTTTTTGACACCTTCAAAATAAGATCCATATTGTCTATAATATTTATTTTTTTAAAAAAAGAGAATTGTTTTTAATTACAATTATTTCTCAGTTACGGATATTATATAACTAAAATCACTTCATTATAAAAACTTGTAGCACAAATGTGAATTAATATAGTTCAATGATTATGTAATTATAAAAATTTATGTTTTCACACAAAATTTGGTGCATCAAAGTTGGAGTGCGAAAAAATTTAGTGTAAAAAGGTATCGGAAATATTCCATTTTTATACTAAATTTGGTGTAAAATATAGTGTAGCAATTGGAAATGCCCTTAGACGCAAACATCAATTTAAGTATTACACTATATTGTTTATGATAAACCCACAATACACTTGTTATTATGCATGGAGAGTAGTATGCGTAGTTGCAAAGAGACGACATTTATACATAGATGAATATTTATTACTTGTTAGGATTGTCGTGTTGAACATATATTTTAAATATTTATACTCGTAACAAATTAATTACAAACTAAAAAGAAAGACGAAAAAGAGCTTCTTTCTTGCATCAAGTAGAGAAAATCCAAAATTTCGTGGTATAAAACAAACACCAAACCATGTTAACGAGATGAGGATGGAGGCATAGCTGATGGTGACGGAGCAGAAGCAGTGCCGCCCAAATACCCAAATTTGTTCATAAGTTCCCGGGCGATTATAGCATTAGCACTGTCAGAAGGATGATATTCATCCCAAAACACATATTTACTTCGGTCTTTGCACAACGTTGATGCCGGGATACAAGTTAGTGCCGGTCGAATTTGTCCGAAAGAGCAGCATGGTGAATCCGCATTCGAAAATCCTACAAAATCAATTACATCTGATATTTAATTATTTGATAAAATTTCCTAAACACTTTTTCTTAGATAAATCGTACCGTACATAATATATATTACTCTCTCTGGTCTTAATTATAAAATGTCAATTAATATAAAATTTAATTCAAATTTGTGAGTCATAATTAAAACCGGAAAGGAAGTAGGTCTAAGAAAATAGACACAAAGTTTACCATATTTGGAGGGATTAGTGATAACATCATTGACCACATCATATGCATCTCCAAATTTGAAGGAAGCATTTACAAGGTTGGCATTCAAATCATTGACAAGCTTGCTTGCTGCTTGATTAAAGTCTTGGGCCAATTTGTTGGGCTTCTCCTGGCAACCACCATCTGAACTCAATACTCTTTGAAGTGGTATACAACCCATTGGGCCTAGTCCAAAAACGATTACCTGCCTTGCCCCTAAGCCATGTAACAACTGCAATCCATAAATCTAAATAATTATTTAAAAACTTTCAAATGATTTTGTTCTTTTTTTTTTTTTTAAAAAAAAAAGGAATGTATCATGCAAAAATAAGATGAACATGAATGTATTGTTAAAAAAAATAAAAAAATAGAATGTTTCAAACAAAAATAAAAAAATAGAATGAACATGAATGTATGTTGAATACATTCTTTCTCTTCTTACATCTCTGTACCGTACTTATAGATGAATTCGTATTGATTAATATATATTGATTTAACGAATTAACATCATACACACTCTAAGTGAGATGTTGTTCATGGTGAAAACCCAGAAAGATTAATGTCAGGTGTGCATGGTCCTAACAACCAACGCTCACGTTAATTATTTTAAACATATTTTTGTATATTCACTTATTGTTTATTGTATATATGTTACAAATTTACAATTGTTGTCAAGTGTATGATGTCTGATGAATATCAAAGTTATACCATGCATTTTCAACTTCAACACAACGTTTAATTAATCTGTTATCCAAGTTTAAGACTAATTCCGATCAACAAAACGATGGGATGATAGGTAGAGAGGGTTGTTTTTTAGGTACCTTAAGTTGGCCTTGGAGGGTATCCATCAAATATTCAAGGAAGGTAGTATCAGTGTAAGACCAGGAATCACGGTAAACAGGCATCAAATAGTTGTTGATGAAATCATTACTTCCCAAAGCCACCACATATCTTGCTTCCTGGAAAAACTTCCCAGCCGCATCATCCCCTATTCTGGCTCTTATCAATTGCTGTGTTCCTTGAAATAACTCAATTTGCTTGTTGAATGATAATCTCTGTACCTGAATGAATATATATGAACACATATAGTTTTAGTCATCCTTTTTCTTATCAAATACGTTTTAGTTAGATGACATGAGTGATAATCACCATATTATTAATTATTCGCTCCACTCAATGAGTCATTTTTCTTATATTGTTTGAATAATTTTTGTGAGACATACTGAGCGTGTAATAATATATTTCTTGAAAATGAATGAGTAGATGATGAACTTACAAAGAGACCGCCGGTCTCGTTCAAAATTCCACCACCTCCAGAAGCATAGTTTACTCCATTACTTAAGATCACATCCTCAGTCAACGTTGGATCCATGAAAGCCGGTGGCCTCGGAACTCCCATCTTATCACCTGAAGTTGGGAGATTCATTTTTCATTTGTTACGAAATCAGGCATATCAAACTAGCTAAAACCATATTATTAATTAATTTCAGGACGAAAATTAATAATATTTGAAATTAAAGACAGTTATTATAACAATATCATGACGACATGATAATTTTACCTATGATATCAGCAACTGTACGACCATTAGTGAATCTCCCATTAGGCATGCCACTACCAAAATCGATGCCATACCATGGTAAGTTTGCCTTAGCAAGACTCTTGGAGAAATAATTATTGTTCCCGACATCGGAAAGCGAATCTCCAAAGATGAACTGCACAACTTTGCATTCGTATTTTCGGAAGAAGATTGCTTGAAATACAAGGAACAAATATGAAACCGATATTTTATTGAACTTCATTTTCATTAGCATGGAAATTGAAAAGAGGGGAAGAATTCGTGGAAGTGCGAGTTTCAAGTTGACACTTATTTTGCTAGCTCTAGGAAGGAAGTGTGGATATTGATTTGTATATATACATCATGGTTGATGATTCATGTCTCTGGAGTAATCTCATTTGGTGAAAAGGGATGATTTTTTTAACCACAAAAAAAAAATAGGAATAAAAGGGATGGATGATGAGTAGAGGGGGTTTGATGAACCAACGTAATAAATATTAAACCTAACTACAACTACCGGTCGTTTGTTACAGACGGTAGGAATGATGAGCCTAAACTTCACCAAAGTTTATGGGGGTCCACAGGATTTGAGATCCTGAGCTGGGCCTGGGGAAGCTGGGCCTGATAGTACTAGTATTGAAAGAGGAAGAGAGAGGCCATGGACACAAACTCCAAAACCCAATGGAAGAGCAGAGCTTGGACTTGTGTGTGTACACATTTCAGTTGGCGGTTCAGTTGAGAGGCATAAGTAGTTTTTTTTTTTTTTTGGGGGTCCCTGACAAGATGGGTTTGGTGGGGTGTTAAAAATAGGAGTCATAGGGTAAGAGGCCCAATTGGAAGTGAGAAAATATTGAGTGGGGGGTGGAAAATTGAAATGATGATCACATTTTTGTGGGTTGTGTGGCTTTGGGGGGAAACTGGAATATGAGCGATAGTGACCCAACAAGCATTCTTCACCTCTCTCTGCATTTTCCTAAATCTCCCTCCCACACTTGCGCGAAGAAGAAGAAGACACCCTTTAAAAAACGATAGCAAAATTGCACGTCTCATTTTTGGAACCAAATACGTACTACTACTTTTCTTTAGTTTTACCCTTTCGTTTTTCCTCAATAAAATAAACTTGGTCAAAATGGCTGTGCTACCATTTTTCTTATATATAATATAAATTACTTAAATCACAAAAAGGGCAAAAATAAAAAAATAATTTTGTGGTGCTCGTAAAGCGTGAGAGCACCGGCAAAAGGCATTCAATACAACATCGGCACCGCCGTTTTTCTTCTTCGTCGTCTACTACTATTCATTAATTAATTATTATCATGTGTAACCTCTAATTTAAAAACCACCGAGTTTTAATCTGCATTGAGTTTTATGTTTTGTGCTAGTAGTTTTTAACAAATTTAAAAACTCAATATGAATATTTTTCTGGGACAAAAGTAATAGGAAGTTGGAGTAATAACTTATCATTTTTGATGGTGGTAACATTTGTATGAGTGTGATGATACTGTTGGAGTTATGACTAATAATTAATCATTATCGTTACATTGTAAACAAACAATATCTCGATGAATGAGGAGGCAATAAACAGGTATATCAATAAAATAAAACAAAGAACCAGCATTGCCCTTTCAAAAAAAAAGAAAAGGCAGCAGCATTGGAGTCTAAGGTAAGCAAAAAAGGAAGCGTCCAATTGGGTAGAAAAGCATTTGGAGGAGTATCACAAAACCAACACATTCCTCCTTCTCCTTTAGGTTTCTTCGTCACCACACAAACACTATAATAATGGTATGGAAGGAATGGAATTTTTTTAGCACTCGAAAATTGAATTTAGTTAGGTCATACATATATTGTTCTAACTTATTAAAGCACAATTTATCAACAACGTTGCCATCAATTTTATTGTTGTTGATGATGATGATGATAACCAATCCGTTTTAAATTTTACAGCACTTTAATTTTTTTTTCATTTGTTGGGGTGTTATTTTTAAATATAATAACAAGCTGTAAAAATAATAATAATAAAAATTTCCTATTATTATTAATTGTAACGAAAAACACACACAAACACACACACACAAAAAAAAAAAAAAAAAACAAACCGGCATTGGGGTTGAATTGTTGCTGTACGAGAGCTCAATCAAAAGCCGAGTTCCGCCACACAGATCCTTCCTCCACTCCTGCTTTATTTACTCTCTTTGTTATTAACCCTTTTTTTTCTCTCCTTCTCGTCCATTTTCGCCTTCTCTCCCTCTTTCGGCCCCCTCAAAGTTCAGTCCTCCCCCCCACCCCCTATTGGTGTCGTTAGATAAGAGAAACAAGAGAGTGCCAAGTCATGGCCGAAGACAAGAAGTCCGCCGCTCCTGCTGGTCTTGGGATTTGGTCTACTGTTAAGCCCTTTGTCAATGGTGGTGCCTCCGGTATGCTCGCCACCTGCGTCATCCAACCCATCGATATGATCAAGGTCTGTCTTCTCCCCTTTTCCCCTCCTTTTACTTTTGTAGATCTCCGATTTCAGTTTGTGCATTCATGTTCCCTCACCCCTTTTTTACCCCCCATTTTATTGCATTGCTGTTCCCCTAATTTAACTTGGGGCCATCCTATTGCTTGTTTCCTTTTTTTGTTCTTTGTTTAAAGTTCGTTTTCTTTTTTCTCCCCCAACCCCCATTGGAGCTCTACTAAGATCTCCGGCCGGGGTCGAGTGATGGATTCACTTTGCCTTGCTGTTTCTCCAGTTTTGTTTTATTGGCAATTTCGTCCAGGGTTTCTTCTTTTTATTTGAATCCCGTTTCACTCTGGATTTTCCTCTAAGATTTGTATTTGTTTGTTGTTACCGATTTGAATTTCATTCACAGATCTTCTGTGAAATGGGTACTTGCGTTTTAATTGTTCCCCCTTAGTTAATGTTGAATGCGCTGAGATCGTGTATACTTAGATCTGTGTGATGAGTACTATGTCAGTCTTCTCAACACTGGATATTATCTATGTTTTCTGATTACCTCTACGTTTTCCTTTTTTTTTTTTTGGGTTTTAATATCAGGTGAGGATTCAGCTGGGGCAAGGATCAGCAGGCGAGGTCACCAAGACTATGTTAAAGAATGAAGGAGTTGGCGCCTTTTATAAGGTATCTGTAGACGAGTCTTTCGTTGCATTTGTGTTGTTCAAACTATAGATGTACCCATATCCTTTTCCGTTGTTGGATTCTCCCATGTTTTTCATTACTCCCATTGTTGGAAAACTAAAGGGCTAAGAGGGGCAGCCTTTTTTTTTTTTTAACTATATTACCCCTCCTGTTTATCGCCCTTATAAAATGCTAGTTGCAAGTCCTTTGCTTTGTGTTGGAATGTTGGTGCAGTGCAACATTTGGTTGTTACAGGAACATTGCATTGGCTACTATTAAGTTCCGTTCTGTAGATTCAGTAACTCTTACATTTTGAGAACCCTAGAGTTTTAGTGGTGTTTCTGGGATATTTAAGGTGTTTCTTTTGTACACTCTAATCTTCTTTGTTAGAATCCTGGATTGATAGTTAGCCAGAATTACTATACTCAACGGATAGAAATTAAGGCGGATGAACTTATTTGTATTTCACTTTTGAAATTTTAAGATTCACCATTACCAACTGTTTATTATATCTTTTCCTTCAAATGTGTTTCCCTGCTCCTCTCCAAGGAAACAGATATTGGTGGGTTGAATCCTTTATTTTTGTTGTCTGATGTTAAATTTCTATGTGCAGGGATTGAGTGCTGGTCTTCTTAGGCAGGCTACATATACTACTGCCCGACTTGGATCATTTAGGTGAGTTCTTAGTGTCAAGTCCTGGAATTTATTACTACCTCTGTTCCAAACAATTGTCTGCGTTGAGTCCTCTATTCTGTACTTTCTCGAACTCAATGTGGACTATTTTGTTGGGACGTGGGGAAGTAATAAAACTATGTCAAATATGTTCTTTTATGAATAACTGAACCTTCTTTCTCTCTGTGTGTGTAAGTACATATATGCCTCTGCTTGGTATGTTTTTTCCTTTTTTTCTTTTTTTTTTAAAGGAGTAATTTATTCTAAATCACTCAAATTGATATTATGTTGTCTGCATGTAAAACTGAGGATATTTTATTCTGTTGGCATTTAAGTTGCGTTCTGGATTGTGCAATATATGTGCACCTTTTATCCTTGATTTTATGTTGCATGTTTGCCACGCCATTTTGAAAGTTTGATTAGGCACAATTGAAAGTGAATCTCATGGATTTACCTATTTCTGAACTCTCTTTTATTCATTTTAATTTTTTTTAGGATTTTGACTAACAAGGCAACCGAAGCCAATGAGGGCAAGCCTCTTCCCCTGTATCAGAAAGCATTATGTGGTTTGACTGCTGGAGCAATTGGAGCATGCGTTGGCAGTCCGGCAGATTTGGCACTTATCCGTATGCAGGCTGATGCAACGTTGCCTCTTGCCCAAAGGCGCAACTACACTAATGCATTTCATGCACTTGGTCGGATTGCTGCTGATGAAGGTGTCCTGGCACTCTGGAAAGGTGCTGGGCCAACTGTTGTGAGAGCCATGGCTTTGAACATGGGCATGCTTGCGTCCTATGATCAAAGTGTCGAGTTCTTCCGGGACTCTCTTGGTTTTGGCGAGGCTGCCACTGTAGTAGGTATGATCCCGGGGAAGATACTTTTTGAAGTTTCATTGGTTTGGAGTTGATCCTAACAATTATACGTTTTTTCCTTTCAATCTAGTAGATATTTTTCCACCAGGTTTCTGTAGTTTTTGTGTGTCTGCATTTCCTTGTTGGCAAATTAGCATGTGAACAAATATGAGGAACACAGATGGGGTGGTTCCGTCTTCTCTTTATTGACGTGATGCATGTGTAACTTGTAATTGTAATCAGCATACCCTCATATTGATGCTTTCATTGTGATGCTTGTCTTTCACATCTTAAAGGGCATGCGTTGTGAGAATACTCGTTAGAAGCTTCCGCCAACTTAATATGAATAGCAATTGATGTTAAAAGCTTTTGGTTTTGATTGCTAATTTCACCTGTTGCTATCAGGGGCCAGTAGTGTTTCTGGATTCTTTGCTTCAGCCTGCAGTTTACCATTCGATTATGTCAAAACACAAATACAGAAGATGCAACCTGATGCTGAAGGAAAGTTACCGTACACTGGATCTTTAGACTGTGCGATGAAAACCCTCAAATCTGGAGGACCCTTCAAGTTCTACACTGGATTCCCAGTGTACTGTGTCAGAATTGCTCCTCATGTCATGGTACTTACAGAAGATCCTCATCTACAATGTTTGAACTCTCCATGCAAATTTACCAATTCTTGACACTTTTTCTGTCTTTTTTGTTTGTTTTGTTGCAGATGACGTGGATATTCCTAAATCAAATCCAGAAATTGGAGAAGAAAGTTGGATTGTAGTTCCATTTGCGGCCGAATGTAGAAGTATAAGCGGGCGGGCGAGCGACTTTTATATATCTAAAATAAGTCTCAACTTTTTGTTTCAGTAGTTGCTGGTTTTTTCTTCTTTTTTTGGGGGGGTGAAATTTGGCACACCTTGAACTCGTGAAGGAAGGGATGATTTAAGGACTATTACTATTGTTATTTTTTTCTTTTGGAAAAGCAGCTGACTGACAAGGCAGATCGTTGTACTAGATTGAAGAATCATGAACCTTTAGGATTTAGGGCATTGGATGGAATGATGATTCCTATATGATTCTTGCTTGATAAAAGCGCATAGTACTCTTGGAAATTTTGAACACATACATTTTGTCAAAGGGATGTGACTAATAATCATCCATGTGAACACTCCTCCATGGTTAAGCAACCTTTACATAAAGTTCTGCTGTTGCTCATTTGTGGAAATTGTGCTTGCTTTCAGTCTGGATTTGCTTTTTGTTTGTTATCGGGTTAGTGCTACCCTCCCCTGTTTTTGGATCCGGATGCCCTATCATACATTTGACGTTACCATTTCACATGTAGTAGTTGGGCAGACGGTATTGTATTTCTCAAAAACGAAATTTGCCATAGGACGGCATCCATTTAAAGTTTTAAGTTTTAAGCAATACAGATGCAACAGTCTTGGAGCCCAAAATCTTTTTGTAGTCGTCTGTCAAGATGACATTTTTGCCCCATACTACTACTTCTTTGTCCCAAACTAATACTAGTCTACCGGTTTACTTTTTTGGTTCCACAATGGGACAAAGGGAGTATATTTGTTACACATTTGTCATTTTGGCGTTGTATTAATATCATGATCCGCAAAACTTTTAAGCATTATTCATCATATCATTGTAAGTGTACTCCATATAATCATTCAATCTAACCTGTTCTTTCATCAATTTAAACGTTTTGATTAAATCGGTATCCTGTTTATGAAATCACCAAGAAGAAATAAAAAGGTACTACTATTTATTTATCAGTCTGATAGAACCAAGTTAATTGACTATTTGACCACAAGGTACTGCTCACTGCTCAGTCTCAGTGGATGGATGAAATGAAACGGACCTCCTCTTTTCCCAAATTGTTCAAATTTTGCCAGCTTTCCTAACCTCCCCCCGAGGAAAAAAACAAAAGTTACAACACAATCTCTGCAGAAACGTAAAATCAGCTTAGACTCTGATCATCAAATTCAAACTAAATCCCTCAACCCTACGGTTTTTCCCCTTAGGCAAAATGACTTTCAATTGTTTCTGCACAAGAAATGAACAACGCTGTCAAAAGAAAAATACAATCTTTGCCAAGTGAAGGGAAGGAAAAAAGCATGGCCGGTTTAGGAATGCGGACGATGGTTCTGGTAGAGGTGGAGGCAACAAAAACAGTAACATTTGGTCGACTGTGAGGCCTTTCTTTAACGGGTTTCTGGCAGGGCAGATAACTAATCTTGAATTCTACAGTTTATTCTGGTGTGGGAAGAAAATGATGTTCCGTAAACGTGAAGCTGCTCTCAATAAGCCTTTATGGAACACCCTTGAAAAGGTGAGAACTTTCTGTTTATATTGTCCATTTTTGCTCTTGTTCTTGTCGGTTGATTTATGTTCACCATCCTGTCAACCTGTGAAAGTTGAAACCTTGTGTGCGTTTTGGAGGGGGCGTCTGAATATATAGTAGATTTAGATTTCAAATGCCTTAAAATTTTTCATGAAAATGTTGAACACAAGCCAGGAACCGAGTCACATTGATTCAACTTTGATGAAATGAAGCCTTTTTATCTTGATCAGGTTCGCATGAATGAATACCTGTGTAAAGCTTTTGGTTTTGAAGCAGTAGTAGGCGGCTTTAGCCATTTCAATGAATCAATTGGTGGTGTTCAATTAAGTAGACAAAAGGGGGAAGATGACCTGTAATTGACTAATTTCCAGAACGTTTATAAAACTCAAGTCTTTTTAGTCTCTGTCTTTGCTTTTCATATTTGAAGTACTCCTAAAATTCGTCCTTTCATTTCAATTGAACAGTTGTTGTCGGTTAATTATCTTGCTCGAGCGGCTTATACCTCTGCACTATTTGGATCGTTTGAGTAAGACCACTTTTTTCTTCAGTCTCTCCCTCCTCCCCTCCCCCCACATTTGAATCCTTTCTGTAATCACTGGCCTGTTTTGTTTCCTTCTCACATATTTTATGAACTTAAGTCTTTTAGATGACGTAAATCTATCTGATATCTACAGTTGCTAGCAACCGGCATTTGTGAAGTTTAAGGACCATGAATCATGAGTCAAGTTCGCAAACCTAAGCACCAAAACAGGTTCATGATTTAGACTGATATTCAATCAACCCAAAGCAGCGACAAGTCAATATCCCGAAACAAACTTAAACACAAAAAGCACCCCCAGAGTACCCTGAGCTATTTACTGAAAGTCTAGAATGCATCCAGTAGTTTGTCTCTAGAATTTATGTTAAAATTGGTAAATGCTTATTTCACACTCATAATTATACAGGTTTGCATGCCAAATCACTATCCTCTACTGGAATCCTTTAAAGCTCGACCCTTATCAGCTTATGTAGCCTGTTTGTTAGATTCGTCAGAAAAAAAAGAAAAAGAAAAAAGAAGGATTAGTCAAGTTTCAAAAATTGCTACCTGTGCATTCGTGCATATGAGAATTTTCCTTCCACTTATCCTGTGCAGAACTTTTCTGATGTTTTACCCTTCTCTCTTGTCCCTACAGTTATATGACCAAAAAAGTAGAAGTTGCAAATCATGGCATTCCTTTAACACTCTAACAAGATGCTTGCTGCGGACTGATTTCTGGTGGTATTGCATCCTTCATTTCATATCCACTTAGTGTCCTATCTGATTCCCTATTAGTTGGTTATGCTCAGAAACTTGAGCCAAAATCAAACTGGAGAAGTCTACTTTCCCTTATTTATCATACAGCTAGAACGGAAGGGCTATCAGCATTGTGGAAAGGTTGTGGTCACCATGTGGGCAGAAATATGTTCCTCAACATGGGTTTACTTACATCATATAATCGAAGTTTTAGTTATTTCAGGGAATCAGTTGGATTGCACAACAATGATGCGCAGCTAGGTAAACTCATTCTTCCTCTGCTGATGTATATTGTTTTTCTACATTGAACAAGTAAGCACTTTTCATATCTCATAATCAAGCTGGTAACTTTTGGTCCTTTCATCTTGGAAATCTCATCACTTTTTGTCCAACTAATGTTCATTTTATTAATCAAACATCCAAATATATTAAAATAGTTAAACTGAATCTTCAAAGAGTTATCTACAAGTAAATTCATCATCTGGAATGGCATTAGTATTTGACTGAGAATATTGTGCTTTAATTAACTTGTGAAATCAAAAGTGATATGATTTCAAAGACAAGGGACATCAAATGCATCTTTCTCCTTGAGAAAAAGTCATATAGGAAGAAAGAAGACAAAAGTTTTTTTGAAAAAGAAAAGAGAGAAAAATCTGCCCTGCCAACGTAGGGCTAATGACTCTGAGGACTATCAGACATACCTTTCACCTCTAGTTTACTTTTGTTTGGTCGCTGCAGGTACTGCAATGGTTTCGGCATTCTTTGGTGTGGCTTGTAGTTCCTCATTTACACACCTTGCAAGTGTTAGGGATGCCATACCGAAGAACGGTTGTAAAAGGTTTCCATACCTAGGCTTTTTATATATTGTCTCACAAATTCTTCGGCCCGGAGGAGGATTCAAGTTCTATTCCGAAATGCTTCAAAACTTTGTTTTACAGAACCCTGGTGTTGTGGTATCACCCCCTTTTCTCCCTTCAACTCAAACTTTGTCTTTTGACTAGTTGAAATCTTCCATTGAAATCTCTTGTAATGTTAAATCGATGGATTTGAATTCTTATAACGTTGATTAGGGGTTGGTTTATGAATTTTTCTGGCAGCCGGTAAGATGGAATTTCGAAACTATCCGGGAGTTTGAAGAGTCAAAGGGGTTTTAACCATCGGGAAACAAGATTGGCGAAGGCAAGAAGCACCCTTTTACCTGGTGATGAATCACATTTTTGGCCGTTCTGATTCTGAAAACAGTATCTTTTCAGGCTTTTCTTCAACTAGGTTATGCATCGCGTCCGGTGAATCTACTTGTAAATTTTGCTGCACTCTTTGTTCATCAATTCGGAAGAGGAAGGATTTCTGCTTTAGTAAAATGTATTCTTGAAATTTGTATCACTGAATGAGAAAATTCAGTCCGGAATACTTACTTATGTAAACAGTCCAACCACAGGGAAAGTGAAACCTTTGCTAACTAAAAGTGAAACACCAATCTAACTAACTAAAATTCTACTGCTTCTGGAATTCTATGACTGAGAACGCCCAAACTTCATATCGAGCCTTCCAGGAAAGATCCAAACAGCATTAACCAACCATTGTAAAATTTCTGTGTCAAGATCTGTGAAAATAAACGAACTAAAATTCTACTACTTCCAGAATTCTATGATTGAAAACGCCCAAGCTTCTTATGTAGCCTTTCATGAAATATCCAAACAGCATTAATCAACCATTGTAAAATTTCTGTGTCAAGCTCTGTGAAAGTAAACGAAACAATGTTGTAAGATACAAACAGGTGTCTCTTGAACAATGTATCCCTTGGAAGCTGAAAAGTGATGCATCTAGAAATTCTTTGGTTTAATTGATGTGAACATATTATACTCACCTGCTCACGTAAGAGAGATCCGAAGTGTTGATAATTATCTTCTCTCCAGCTAATACATGACCTGGTACCTAGCAAAATGGGGAGGGGGTAAAAAACTAATTTAGATTGCTCTTGTATTAAAAAACAAACTACTAATATCTAGGGTACTATTAATGTCATGAAAACTGCCTCTACAGATATATATTAATCAAATATTTGGTTCCAGCACTAAAGTTTCAACACCATAGTTGATGATATGAGTTTGAGTTGAATCAATAATTGTCCCAGACTTGTTTTTGTAAAAGGGAAAAAAGATGGAAATTCTGTCCTTCCCTCTGACAATCTCAAACTTTCAGTCCTAACTAGGGTAAATTTCCATTTAATCATCAGCATATGAATACCGAAATGCCTTTTTAATGAAGGGGAAAACAGGAAAATCACACTTAAATTAATTCACTCACCTGGACAGTGAGACCATTTTCCAACTTAACCTTCTTATACCTGTATAGGTTAAAATAAAATTTTAAAAAAAAAGTGAAAAAAACAGAGAAAATATATGATGAGTTAAAGGCCAAAGAAGGGATTTCAATAGAAGAAATAAGCTAGTATTAAAGGAAAAAACTGTAGATCCATATTCATGTTGGCCAAAGACCTAACGATCAATGAACTTACTGAGGAGTAACAGAAGATCCCTTTACAGGAACTTGAGCCTCAGCAACAGTGCAAGTAACTTTTGTTGGAATCGATGCAGACATTGGTTGGTTGTCATACATTTGCAGCTTAACCGTCATGTCCTCTGCACATGGTGTATATTTTTCAATACAATATAAATAGTATATATTTCTTAACCATAAGCAAAGTTATTAGCGGCCTTTTAGTGATGACTCTTGATATATCAGAAAAAAGGACCTTAAGAACCAAGAAAAAGGAATGCAAGAATTCTAGAATATTAACCTTGGAGAAATGGAAGAGAATCACCAAACAGTTCCTTTGGTACGTTAATTTGTGTGTATGTATCAGGCCTGAAGAGAAGGAATTCACATAAAGGGTGTCAATCCATTGCAAATATGCTTTATAAGCTCAGAAATTAGGCACTAACTCAGAGATAACTCACTCCACAAGAACAATAACATCATCATCAGTATAAAGGTAGTTGAAAGATTTTTCTTGAACATAAACTCCTGCAACAAAGTGAATGATTGAACATAAGACTCCTCCATACAAGGAACGACTGTCTTGAAATATTTAAATGGATTCAACTTTGCTTTCCTTAGGACTAAAATGAGTTCGTTCAAAAGCTTATCCCATTTCAGGGGACAAAGAAAGATTGTGTGAAATACTGAAAGAAAATTATGGAAAATTGAGCAATATGATCTGTAGTATTCATTTGATACAGAATGGTTACAGATGTGTACACTAAAATCAATTCTAAGCAGTGCTGTTCTTTTCAAATTAGAGAAAGTTTAATGATCAAGAAGCAAACAGGTATACTTTCAATTGCCTCATCTGTACGCAGCCTTTCATTTACTTTATTTCCACTATCAACATCTCGGAGCTCCACCTGTAAAATATCAGAGAAGGCCTAAATGGTCAATCAACAGATAAGCTAACAGAACTTAGGAGTAACCATTGGACCATAATCAGGCAGTATCACATAAAATCAAGTAACACAAGAAGGCACTGGCACATATACTTCCTTACAGATAATACAAAGATATCTTAGTAGATTAAAAAGTCGACAAAGTGTGCAAGAAGTTAAAAGCATGAAATGCATTCTAAGTCTCAAACAACAATAATAACAACTAAGCGTTCGTCAACTATGTGAGGTTGGCTGTATAATCATATGTCAATCATCGCGTTCCGATAAACATCTTCAATAAACTCCAAATTAATTGTGCCTTTCTAAATGGTTTATGAAATGCACCAGCAGAAAGAAAAAAAATATAATTACAGTTGGACCTGTATTATAGCTCCTCCTCTTCCCTGAGTTGTATGTTGTGCCTTTATGACCTGAGGCAAAACAGGTCATTTCACCAGGAATGATTTCTACAGAATTAATTCATAAGAGTTCCAATGCAACTATGAAAGCAATAAACTGGTTTACCTGATAGATTTTTCCTGCATAGAAGTCAAATCCCATCAGAATACCACATTTGAATACGCTTTAGTACACATTTGAAATGCTTTCACTCACTCTGCAAGAATGCACACATACACTAACAATAAGAAACCACAAAGAAATCACCTTTTCTTTCAATGACATTCCCTGGTCTCACCTGCAACAAAATAAAAAACAACATTGCAACCTTTCAGCATCGGGAAGAAAAGAATCCCTTCGAACTACAAAATGAAGAAAAGACAATTACTGTCAGATTCATCAAACAGACATAACAATTGCAACGAATTGCACTGGGAAGCCACGAGGCTAGACATACATGGCTGGCACACAAATGATTACCCGAGCCAGATTCTTAAATCTCCAGGTTAAAGACTAATAAATTCAATCATCCCACTGATTCAGATATTAATTTTGTAAAATTATTTTATCAAATGTTTGACTGACAGGGACGACCAAATGCCTCAATGAGAACTTAGGCAGCAAAATTTGGACCAAGACCCACTTTTGAAGTAAAGGGCCTGCAAAACAAGTGCTAATCATGCGGGAAAAAAGAAGATGGAATTTCACAAAATTTAAGCTCAACAAACAACTGCATGACCAATTCCCGTAATGACCTCTTATGGCTTTCTATATGAACTTTCGAGTTGAACAAAATAGGTCAAGAAACAATGTTTAAGTAAAAGGGCCAGTTAATAAAAGCTAATTAAGCTAGACTTCATCATTTCCAAGAAGTTAAGTTGACAAACAAAATCCAAAGAAGAGACAGTTTTGAAGGAAAGAGACATTTAAAAGAAAACAAGAAAAGGAAATTAATTATACAGGAAAATAAGGTGCATAGCTTCCATCATTTCAAAAAAATCCAAATTGGAGAACCAACGATAGGACAAACTGCAAGAAGGAGCTTTGTAAATATAAGCATCCAACAGCGAGGCAATTAAGTTCCATTTTGAACTAAAAGCTTCCATCATCGAAACTTAAACTCCACTAAAATTAGACCAAAATGACACAACGAGTTCGTGCAGCTATATCTAAACATTCAAAGGTCAGTAAACGATTTCGAAGCGAATGGCCACCAAAAAGAAAGAAAGGAAAAGCGAATAATAATAACAAGTAAAAGAAAGAAAGAAAGGAACGGACGTCGGCGCCGGTGAATCTGGCATGGCGGAGCTGCCCCAGTCGCCATAACAAAGAAGAAGAAGAAGAAGAAGCAGGTGGTGGTGGTATTGCTCTTCCTCCGGGATTGATTTTGGTTTGAAAGAGAATGGATGAGAAGGAAGTTGTGAGAGATCTTGAGTAAAAGAGATTTGATGGTCGAATTGAAGCATCATGATGATTATGAGGATACCACCATTCTGCTGATCTTCTTCTTATTATTAGTCTTCTTAGTAGCACCACCCTGCTTTTCGCCATTTCTTCTTTCTGCTTCTTTCGGCTTCGACGAAGATGATGAACAAGGACTGAAAATTCATAAATAGGGGATTAATTACGTTGACCTCCCTCAAACACTTCAGAAACTACTAAACACGTCCTTAAAGTTTTAACTAATTTCTTATAACTCCATATTTACTGACGTCAGAAATTGGGACAACAGGAGGATCTTAAGTCCGACCCGCACCGACTCGTGGTGCTCTCCCCGTACTTCTCTTATTGTGGTTGGTCTTTCCTTAAAAAAAAAATTCCGACCTTTTCCGATTCCGGCCAACAGACGCATCCGGTAACAATTTTCTCTCTCTCTTTTTTAAGGATTAGTCTCGTTATTCTTAGGATGATTTATTCTTCTTCATTTATATACGAACCAATTCCTTTCTGTAATTTATTTACGTTTTGAAAGAAGTTTATCACGTCTTCAGTGAGGTTTATGAAAGCCAAGTCTTCTGAACCCTAATTGCTAATTCCACTCGAGGTTTTTTTTTTTTTTTTCTTTTACGTGTCAATTTTCCCGAATTGGATCATTGTAAAAAAAAAAAAAAAAAAACGAACTGTCAGTGTTAACTTGAATGATTATGTTTAGTGGTTAGGTACTTGTATTTCTCACTTTGTAAACAATCTGAGCTTCTTTCAGGATGAAATTCCGCTCAATTCTGTACTTCAGTTGAAACTCCCGCGCATCTTCCATCCATGGGGAATTTTAATTATTTATTTCTTTTTTTCCCCTCCATTTAGGAGTTCTGTTCAGTGTGGACTGTGGAGCAGGATTCTGGAATGCTTTTCACCCTTTAGTTTAAGACCCTGAGTCAGGAGAAATTTGCGTCTTCTTTTGCTTTTCTGCTTCTTGCTGGAGGCTCTTGGAAGAGGAGACTCTCAACAAGGAAATCGTGCAAATTCAACCTTGTTTAACTTTGTTTGGGACTAATTTTATTCCAAAACCAATTGATGCATATCAGTTGGGGACTCTGTTGAAGGCCGGAGGATATCACAGTTTTGGTTGAGATTCTGAGGTGTGAAGAGTTTGTGTGTTGCCTTTCAAGTTTAAATTATAAAGCCCTGCTCAAGGCGAGAAGTCTGAATAAAGAGTTGCGGATGTGGACAAATGTATTCAAGATTGTATGTGATGTTTCTTTCCTTTCTTCCAAAATTTGGTTGTTTTGATGTGACTGTTGCTGGTTATGAGTTTGATCCTCTAGTGGTAGCTCTACATGTTTATTCGTTTTATTTGGCTAGCCCCGCCCCCCCTTTTTAGAACTGATCTCCCAATTTTGACCCAGAAATTCACAATTTTCACCTGCCATTGCTGAATTTCAATCTTACATGTGACATTAATTTGTTTTGTACCTTGGGTCGCAACGAAACAGCCTCTTTCTGTAATTATTAGGGTAAAGCTGCATACAACTGACCCCCCAGACCCCAACTTGGTTGGGACTATACTGGGTGTGTTGATGTGACATTAATTTGTTTACTTTTGGTGGTAATCTGTGGCCCTCCCATCTTCTCCATTCATTTACCGAGGAATTAAGCATTGAGGTTGCCATACTTGCAAAGTGATAATATGACCTACATCATTAGTTTATCTCCATGGCATTGATGAGAAGTACTCTTTGTTCTTCTGCAGGGAGGTTTACATCAGATATCGTGGTTTCAATTTCTTCCCAACGAATCAGACCTTAACTCGCTTTCAGATAAGAGGTTTGATGTTTGAATAATACCGGTATCCAGAGACTTGTCATATCTTAGTGGGGTTTCCCCGCTCATTCCTCTGGATTTGAAGGCTATCCCTGATATCCTTTCCCTCTTTTGATTTTGTTGTCATTTTTGAAGTGTGAAGTTTGACCCTCGAGATGCTGCCACGTCAGCTATACTGTCGGCATTTCTACAGTTGCAGAAAGAAGGGTTTCTTAGTGCATGGACTAATTCTTTTGTTGGACCCTGGGATCCATCTCAGGGATTGCACAATCCTGGTAAAGTATTCACCCATTTGTAATCTATGGAATTCTTACTGTGCAGCTACTGTATTCTGGTTATCATGTGTATTCATCTACTGATTGGTGCTTGTTTATACAGATGAGAAGATCAAACTTTGGCTTTTCCTTCCTGGGAATCATTCTGCTGTTGTCGAGAAGGCTCAACCGGCTGTGTCCAAATTAAGAGGTATAGTTTTTGCTGCTGTTGGATTATTTATAGATTGTGCATGGGTATATTGAGATATGTGTATATATTTCACCTTAGTGATCTAAAGAAGTTATTTGATTGTAGTGCTTGCATCCGGACTTTGGGTGGCTCCGGGGGACTCAGAAGAGGTGGCGGCTGCATTATCCCATGCCTTGAGGAATTGTGTAGAAAGGTTTTTTTCTTGATGTTTTGTCACATTTACTTATTCATTACTTTTTTTGTTAGTGACAGAACTTTGTCATTCTTACACATGGAACAATTTGCAAGATAACTGATATATTGTTGGTGTTTACTTGGATAGAGCACTCAAAGGGTTTTCATTTATGAGATTTGGTGATGTATTTTCAAGACATCGCCCATCTTCCCAATCTGAAGAACTTTACAGGTTTACTTTAAAAGTTCTTTATCCGTTGAAGTTTTCCTTATCCCGATTCAAATGATTGTATCAGTTAGTAATTCTTACTGAAGATATCCGTCTTAGCCAGAACTTTTCATTATTACTAGTGTCATTTAAGAAAATGTAAATTGATTGTCTATTATCAAGCTCTTATGTAGAAAATTTCTAAACCACCAATTTGGTTCTACTTCATCTTGACGTTGTGTACTTCGTCTTGTAGGAGAGGTCAGCCAGTGGCTGAATTTGTCTTTGTTGCAACAGAGGAAGCCATATTTGTGCATGCCGTAATCTCTGCAAAGTTGGTTTGAATCCCTAATTTTAGAGTCTAGTACATTCCAAACTTTTTTTTTCCTTCCGAGTGTTCCTCAAATTTTACTACTTCCAGGCATATTCGGGCACTTTCAAGCGGCGATATTGAAATGGCGCTGCAACAATCTTTTGATTGCTTAAGTGATAGGCTTCCAGGTTTGTGATTATGCACTTATTACATGTTTATGTGAAAGCTTTTATCATATTTTAGCTTGGAATAAAAGGTCAAGTTTGTCAATCATTCTTCTTTTCTTCATTCATTGGTAGAGACCACATTGTATATCTGAACTGATATAACAGTGAGAATAGGACATCATTAACGACCCTCAATAAGAATCTTATTAATTCCACCATTGATAAAACTTTATAATTTCGAGGCTATGCATTTTTTTGGTAGGGTTTCAGTAGCTTTTGTGGTTTAGAAATGTACCCACATCTTGAGCCTGGTCTAAACATGTTATAACCAAACTTTATATCACATAAACTTCATGTACTGGTAGCTGGGTTATGGAGGACTTCTCTTTCATTCAGGGACTTAATTGTTTAACTGGTTCCATCTAATTTATTAGGTTGTCCGGTAGTTGATCCAAGTGACTCTTATGAACTAACAAATATTAGTGATTTCGTATGAACTAACAAATGACAATTAGGGTATCCACACTTACATTTGTCTATTATTCTCAAATTTATTAGTGATTAACATGGCAATATCAAATATGTTGGTTCCTTGCAAATCTGTTGTTTCATGGCGTATCACATTCTTTGCAGTTATTACTTCACCCCACGGAATGCTTGGAAAGCTTACTGGATGTTGTCCCAGTGATCTTGTGAAACAAGTGTATCTCAGGTGATGGATATTCTTTTGGCTTTAATGACTCCACTATATGCTGGTCTCTCCTTAGCAAAGAAATGTAGTTTTATTTGTTTTCTCTTTTTAATTCTTATGCACTTTGTTTAACAGTTCTGGCAAGTTTAAAGCATCGAATGAAGTTGTAGGTCTTCCATATGCTTCTCATTACTCTGGTTGTCAACTGAGAGGGCAAAACTGCTATGCTGAAATTACCCTGGGGGGTCCGCTTTCTGATGATGCAAAGAAGCTGCATAACGATTCGAGTTCACAGAAGAATTTACTGAGACATAATGGTAATGAATCTGTTGCACCAGAGACCAAACTCAGCCAGAAAGGATTGCCAGAGACTTCAAAAATGTTTATTTACACGGCTGAAGCTGTGGTTGTTCCTGTGATGCAAACATCTTTTGCGAGGTCGTCTTTGAAGAGGTATTTCTTTTTACTTGTAATAAGTGGTCGCTCTGCAATTTCCTCGTGTATATGGTTTGGGTTTAAGCTTGTTTTAGTGTCTTGTATTCTGTCTAGGTTGTCTTATATGCATAGTATCATCTATACGTATTGCAGATTCTGGCTGCAAAATTGGATTGGACCGTCACCGTTCACCTCATCATTCTTGACGCACTGGTTAGTCTATATTAACTTCCCTGTTTCTTGTATTAGCTATCAGCTATTCATTAACATACCTATCAGTTGTGATTTCAGTGGCGATGGTATGACTGATGCTAAATATGGTTCTCGGCTTGATATGAATGGCTTTCGCTCTCATCATGGGTACCACAGTAGTAGCAATAGCAACAACAGTAGTATCAGCAGTATAAGTGGCTCCTCTAGTGATAGTGATTACAAGACCTCTGGAGTGGCTGATCTCGATGCTGATGCTGATTCTTTAACATGTCAACATTCTGGTTTATCTTCCATCGACCAATTACATAATGATAGCCTGAAACCGGTAATTTTCTTGTGTCATGCATATGTCAAGCATGGCTGTATGTTGCCTGACAATTTCCAAGTGAACTCCCATGCTAGTTCGTTAGGGACTATTGTTTTCACAGATGAATACGATTAATGTAGTTTGAACAATTGATCTTAGAGTGTTCATGTACCCTTTATCAATAAGTACTTATAACTACTAGTATCTGAAATATTTAATATTGTAGTTTTAGTAGTTGAAACCTTTGATGTAGTTGAAATTTCTAGATTTTAGTGATATATTGTTTTTTCAGGCAATTCAATGTGAAGTTTTGGAAATATAACTGAAATGGGAATGTATATTGCGAGTATTTATATTGAATTGGGATGGAGGCAATATCTTCTCTACCTTACCGTATGCCCATACCACAATATGCCTTGTGTTATCTGATCTTTGACTGGTCTAGTATGCCTTGTGGTCAGTTGTGTGTTGCCGTCCATGATGCTCTAAAACATATTTGATGTTTTAAGCGTAGGTGATTTTGGTATTTTTAGGTTGCATTGAGAACTTAGTATGCGAAAAAGAACAAAGGACTTTCAGGGAAGAGAGGGGCGAAAAGGGAATCCTTCGAAGGCTTTGGGGTTATTTATTTATTGTTATCTGTTTCTATGAATTTAAGTTATTGAGCATGTTTATTAACTTGAAAAGTTTTCAAATCTAATCTTATTTGTCAGATAGAGCATAATAGTTGTATGCCATTGAATTCATTAATACATTGTCATATGTCGTTTACTGTTGACAGTTATTGTTTTCATTTTTATACAGGGTTCAAAGCGGGGTCGTTCGGGAATATCCGAGGCATTTAATCAAACAGGTGCAGTTACACATCCATGTTCAAGTGATTTTGGTTCAGTTGAAGTTAATAATGCAACCATTGCTGGAGGTTCAAGTGATTCTGGTGGGTGGGGTTGGGATGATGACGACAGAGGTATGAGCATGGATATTCAGGCACTAGTGTCAGAGTTTGGAGATTTTGGTGATTTCTTTGAGAATGATGTTTTGCCTTTTGGAGAGGTAATTATTCATCCTTTTGAATGATTTATACCTTTCTTGTCTTATACAGTTGATGTTAAAACAGTTGGTATTTGCACCTGACATTTGTTCCAGGTAAGGAATGATTTTTTACACTTGCTGGGTCTCATTATAATATGATGTTGCCTCGGTAGATGTGTAAGGACTGAAGAACATATTGCTTGTATTGCTGTCTGATTAGCTGGCACTATTGAAATTCAAGTTCGTAAAATCATATTCTTGGCTTAATGATTAGGAAGATATCCTGTTCTGGCTCTTCATAGTTTCTTAGTCAGTTATCTAGCAGGTGATAGTTGACTCTAAAACTTGGACTAGTTAAGGTAGGAATGAGAGTTTTTTCGGCACAGATGTTTATGTATTTCTTTCTTTCCTTCTTTACATGAATTAAATCAGTTCAACAACTTATTGACTAAAACTGAATCTTTTCTCTTATGTTTTGAAGCCACCAGGAACTGCAGAGTCACAAGCACCCCTTCTGTTTCCAGCCCAAGATGTCGGAGATGTAGGCAATAGTCCAAGTACATCAATGATGGACGTGCCAGATCCAATGCTTTTGCCAGTTACATTTCCCCCTCTAGAAAGTTTTAGCTCACCATCAGCTCCTCCTCCTGCTGCTGCAGATGATTCTCAATACAAAAATCAGAATCTGGTGCAAAGCTTTACTGTTCCAGGTCAAGGTAGTAATGCAGCAGCACATACAAGTGGTGAATTTGACCATTTGATAAAAGCTGAAGCTATAATGACATTTGCGCCGGAGTATGGAGCAGTGGAAACTTCTTCAGTTGAGATGTCCTCATCAATTTTCAGAAGTCCGTATGTTCCGAAATCCCGGAAAGCAGAGACTGAAACTTCGAGCTCTAACAATTATATATACTCCGCAACACCTCCTTCCCCTTGTGTTGATGACTCTGATGCCAAGTCTGGTATAACTGTAAATATGAGAGTAGCTTTAGGTAAACAAGACAGAAGTGCAATTTCACAATCAAAGAACTATTACACTCATGTTGATGGCGTAAAGGATAAACTTAGCAGAAATTTATCGACATCCAAGACTGGAACTGGCACACATGAACCTCGAGCACTTCTATCTTCTATTGGCTTTAATTCATTGGATTCTGTTAAATCTGTACATACAAGGGGAAATGAAGGTCAACCAAAAGCGGAGAGTTTTCTCCCATCTTTGAAACCTATCCTTGCGACAGAAGTTGAATGTCTAATGTGCCAAGCTTTTATGTGTAGGACACGGCATGTGATATTATCTTCTAGCAGTCCTGTTCCTGCCAGCTTGAGTAGGTTGTCTGGGGGAAATGTGGGAAATATGCTCTATCAGCCTAGTGCTGATTCAAGCATTGTTATGTCTGATCACCTTTCGAGCAAATCTGATGTGAAGAAGAAAGAAACAATTCCTGTTAGGATAGCTGGTAGTGACTTGGATGGTGGGCTTCTCGATGGGCCTCTGAGTGCTCCAGTTGGGGTTTGGCGCTCTGTTCCAAAAGGGGCAAAATCAACCAACCATAACATGGAGCTTAGCTCGTCACTTCCTCTCAATACATTTGTTGAGGAAAACATTCTTTCTTATGGTCTGCGGCAACCGTTGCAAGAACTTCTAGATGGATTGGCATTATTAGTGCAACAAGCTACGTCATTTGTTGATGTTGCTCTGGACTCTGATTGTGGCGATGGTGCTCACGGTTGGCTTGCATTGCAAGAGCAGTTAAGGCGTGGATTTTGTTGTGGACCTTCTATGGTTCATGCAGGATGTGGGGGAGTTTTATCTTCTTGCCATGCTGTGGATATTGCTGGGGTGGAATTAGTTGATCCTCTATCAGTTGATGTAAGTTTATTTTTCAATGTTTATTTAAATAAATTTTTTATTTAGTTGCAATTGTGTTATTGATTGTGACATCTCCTGCTACTTCAAGTGTTTGCTGATTGGTCTTGATGAATGTTTCTCTTGCATTTTGAGCATATTTTATAGATCTCATTAGATATTTTAATTTTGTAGAGATATTGTATTCGTGAGTTTGTAGTTTTATCTGTGATGCTGAAGGATATTGAGGTGGTCATCTCTTTTATTTGATGTGCGATCTGTTGGAAATTACTTTACGTGGTAAAATTCGACTTTCAGGTTCAGCCTTCGTTTACAATTGGTTTACTTCAATCTGATATAAAAGCAGCACTGAAATCTGCTTTTGGAACTTTGGATGGTCCACTCTCGGTAATTGATTGGTGCAAAGGTCGCAGTGTGTCCTATGAAGCATGTTCCACTAGTGATGGATTTTATGCTGAATCAACAGCTAGTGCTAGCGAATGCCGAGATTCTTCAGGTAGCGTAAACCTCTCTATGGGAGAGGCCATTAGCACTTCTCAGTCTGGTATAAAAGGTATGGAAATTCTGGATGACTTTTTTAGATTGTTGGCGTAAAGTATCTTTGTTGCCCATTCACGCATCGTTTTTTTCTTAGATGGGAACCGAATGGATGAGACAAGTGAGAGGAGATCAGTTCAAGATGGTTCATTGTTAGAGTCAGAGCAGCAAACAGGCTCAAGGCTTAGGCCTACATTGGCAGTAGTTCCATTTCCATCTATACTTGTTGGGTGTGTACTTTCATAGAAGCTTTCCTTGTGCTTGGTTTGGTCTTCTTTTATTTCAAGTCCAAGATGCTATCAAATTAGAAATGGCTTAACTGGATGGAATTTCAATTTTTTTACTTCTGGTAGTGCGCCCTGGTAAAATCATGTTAGATTTTCTGGGGTTTATTGGCATGTCATTGAACTAAAAGCAATTGCACCTTTTTTTCTTTCCAGTTCAGGGTTTTATTGTGCTTCGAGCAAACTACTACTTGATTTCTTAAATCTTTAGGAAGAACTATAATGGTATTGGTAAGCAATTTGAAGTGGTGTTAGCCTGTTCTATACCGTATGGAGTAAATGATCGCGGCTGACATTGTTAAATAACTTTTCTGAAATTTCCGGAGAGGAATTCAATGAGAACTTTAAATAAGTTCGATGTATGCTTGATCAAGTTTCATAAATAGCTCTGGATTTTTTTATTTTGTGGATATGTTGTTCAACTAAGTTTTTTCTATAGGTACCAAGATGATTGGCTGAAAACATCTGCCAACTCTCTGCAAGTCTGGGAGAAAGCTCCTCTTGAACCATATGCTACGCAAAAACATGTAAGTTTTACTGAACGTTCTATTTGTTTTATAGTTTATTTTGCGACCACCAGACAATGAGGAGGCATCAGATATCTCCCCTCGATACACATTTATTTTGTAGAGTTAACTTTTTATCTTTCTGGAGGTACAGTGTTCGGGGGGTTGATTTAGATCTTGTGATGAGATTATTTTTGTTGATTCTACAGATGTCGTACTATGTTGTATGCCCAGATATTGAATCTCTCACCACTGCGACGGCTGATTTTTTTCAACAACTTGGAACTGGTTAGTGTGATGACAGTATCAATATTGATCTGATTGCATGATTATTGGTTCTTTTTCCCCTTTTGGTTGCATGTGTTGGTGGGATTTATATTACCTGTAGTGTTGCACAATACGTGATCATTTTCCTAAAGTGTGAGTCTTTTGTCCTTGGTTTATCTGGATCTTTAATGTTGGAAATTACTACTCCCTCCATCCTAGAAAAATAATCCTCTTTTTCAGAACTTGCAGCTTAAGAGTATAGTCATTCTGACCAAATTCTGATAAATTTTCATTATGTCTTTTCTTTAGTTTATGAGACGTGCAAACTGGGGACTCATTCGCCTCACAATTTGGGTAACGAAATGGACGTGGACACCGGGAAGTCGTCATCTTCTGGGTTTGTTCTACTTGATTGTCCGCAATCCATGAAAATTGATAGCAGCAGCGGGTCGATTCTAGGATCAATTAGTGATTATTTTCTCTCCCTGTCGAATGGTTGGGATTTGGAGAGCTTTTTGAAGTCACTTTCAAAAGTCCTCAAAACTTTGAATATGAGTTCATGCTTGACCACAAACATTAAAGATGGGAATAGTAGTCCATTCACGGTAAGTTTTTGATTCGCAGAGCTGCTCTTTTTTTTTCACTTGCTGCAAAATTTTCTCTCCCCCGCCAAGTTTGTTTGGCCAACCTTCCATTTTGCATTTTGTCTCATTTTACCTCTTAAACACAAAACCCAATGGGAAAGAAAACATCATCCAAACAACCGTCTGATTTACATTTTAAATTCCAACTTGAAACACTTTTTGTTAGTGTAATGACCATTTTAGAACTAAAAATAGTTCAGTGACATATTTGGCAAGATTCCGTAGTTGAGTGATTGTTTTTGGAAGTGTTCTTTTTTAAAGTGACTAAAAGTGACGTATTTTATTGTTTAGTGATGATTCGAACTTGATATTTTCAAAATGTAGTTCAAAATATTTTTTTCAAAACCAACATCCAAACAACTTTTTGCTCAAAATGACGTCCAAACAACATTTTTATTTCCCATTTGGTTTTCAACTTGAAACACTTTCCACTTTTAAGTGGCAAAATGAAATGTAAGCTGACATCCAAACAAGCACTCAAAATCCAAAAAGTGATTCCTTTTTTTTTATTATTTAAATGTTACAGATCGTTTCCTTCCAGAACAAAAACTTTTCTGTTTCTTTCCTTTCCTTGAAAAGTTTCCTAAATAAATTAACACTACTATAGTGAACATGTATCGGTTGTGAATTATATGAACGCTTTATATAATGTCTCATCTGTAAAACGGGGTTATCCCATCCTGAATATTTGATTTGAGGTAGAATGCTCTAACTGTTAATGTCAAACCTTATAAGAGGCACAATATTGCCTCTGTAGAGTGTGATAAACTACTTTTCTGAAAACCTTTGAAATAAGTCTATCATTCCTTGTCCCTGGTACGTGATTTTTCTTTATTTTTGAATTCTAACTTGTAAATTTCTAACAGGTAATCTATGTAGTATGTCCCTTTCCAGAGCCTTTAGCAATACTGCGAACCGTAGTTGAGGCATCAATTGCGCTTGGGTCTTCCATTCTTTCTTCGGATAAGGAAAAAAGATCTATGATGCACAACCAGGTCGGGAAAGCCTTAAATCACTCCGCCGCTGTGGACGAGGCATTATCCAATGTCTTCACCATTTCAGGATTTAGTATTCCTAAATTGGTTTTACAGATTGTCACGGTGGATGCAATTTTTAGGGTAACGAATCCTCCTCTTAGTGAGCTTGTTGTTTTGAAGGAAATTGCATTTACAGTTTACAATAAAGCTCGAAGAGTTTCACGTGGTGTTTCGGGGGAATCAGTCCCATCTTCCACATCCTTAACTGGTAGATCCCATCCAGTTTCAATGCAAATGACATCTTCATTGCCTGGGATGTGGAAAGATTGTGTTGGTCCTCGGCTTTCTGGATCTTCCCTCCATAGAGAAAGCGATCTTGATGCCAGCTTGAGGTCCAATACTTGGGACAGCTCTTGGCAAGCTAGGGCTGGTGGGCTGGGGTGTGATCCAAGTCGAGCTGGTGATTTTCTCATTCAGGATGAAGTTCGTTGTATGTTTGAGCCGCTCTTCATCCTTGCAGAACCTGGAAGTTTGGAACGTGGGGTTTCTCCTCTTTTCGGGAATCTTTCTGGTGAATCCTCGAAAGTCTTGGCAGATGATGGCACCAGTGGGAGCTCAGGAATTGGAGAAACTGGACAGAGCTCTCAGCACGATGCATCAGAACCAGATGGTTTTGGGTGTAGCAATCAGAAGACACTTCCGAGCTTGCACTGCTGCTATGGTTGGACGGAAGATTGGCGTTGGCTGGTGTGCATATGGACTGATTCCAGGGGAGAATTACTTGACAGCTATATTTATCCCTTTGGAGGAATAAGTAGTAGGCAGGATACCAAGGGCTTACAGTCTCTTTTTGTCCAAATTATACAACAAGGATGTCGAATACTTCAGGCTTGTTCATCTGATGGTGGCAAGCCTAGAGATTTTGTTATTGCACGTATTGGGTGTTTCTTTGAGCTTGAGAGCCAAGGTATGTGGTTCCCCTTCTTTATATTTCTCGGTTTGTAATCTTGTGGTCAATTCATGTCTCAATTCCACATACAACTTACTGCGTTAGATGTCTAGCATGTGTTGTGGGATTTTCAACACTACCTGTTATAATTTGTGGCTATGAACATTTGATATCTACATGTCAAACATGCTGTATATTATTACAATTGAATTTTCACCAGTCAATTTGTTACAAATTAGGCAGCAAAACAAGGTTTTTGTTAATTTGTTAGAATCCAAATGTGTTTTCTTGTGCACCTTAGTTTTCTTTTTTCTTTTCTTTTGGGCAAAATGTAAATATATATTACCTCCATCAAAATTGCAGTATGAACAACACACATTCATACCGAGCACCCAGTTGAATGGCATGTTGGTCATTGTTTGCATTCAATTTTTAATCTTCAAGTGCTAAAGATTTTTCCGATTACCAGAATGGCAGAAAGCTCTTTATTCAATTGGGGGCCCAGAGATGAAGAAGTGGTCTCTACAACTGAGAAGGTCGGTCCCTGATGGAATGACCCCGAGTAGCAACGGGGGTTCAATGCAGCAACAAGACATGAGCAGTCTGTTGCAAGAAAGGACACTACCTTCTTCACCTAGCCCTTTGTACAGTCCACACACAAAGTCCTCTGCATTTATGAAGAGTAGTCTTGGACAGACTTCGAGCCGAAAGCAGCTTATGGGTGGTGGAGTGGACAGTTCTAGAGGTTTGCTTCAGTGGGTGCAAAGTATCAGTTTTGTTTCTGTGTCAGTTGATCACTCCCTACAGCTGGTGTTCCAGGCAGATTCAATCACTGCTGGTAAGCGATCTAATTTTTGCTACCTCATTTTCATCTTGGGTTAATCTATGATGGCGGAAATTGAAAATTCAACCCCCTCACCTCATACCAGTGTAGTTTCTGACCATATTTTGGTCGAATGTTTGTTTATAATATGTTGTGTATGCCCCGGTTTATGTTGAAATTCAGAAGGCCTTTTGATGCGAGTCTTAGTTTAGTCTTTAGTCTTATGCTACTTTCAGTCATGGGGTGTCTGTTCCTTGCCAAAGACTTTACTGACTGTTTTCAAATGGTTTTGCGAATGGCCAAAGGGTTATAGTCTTTTGCTGAAGAAGCTAAGAATTTTACTTTCTTGCAGGATCCACTCAAATTAATGGCTTCCCAAACCCGCCAAACTATCTTGAGGGTTATACTCCCGTAAGATCCCTTGGGTCGGCATCTGCTTGTTATATGTTCATTCCATCGCCCAGCATCCGTTTCCTCCCTCCTGCACCTCTTCAATTGCCAACATGCCTAACTGCTGAGTCCCCACCTTTAGCTCATCTGTTACACAGCAAAGGCTCTGCTATTCCACTTTGTACCGGTTTTGCAGTCTCAAAAGCCGTTCCTTCTATGAGGAAAGATTCGAGGAGTCTCATCTCAAAAGAAGAATGGCCATCCGTGCTTTCTATTAGTCTTGTTGATTACTATGGGGGCAGTAACGTCGCCCAAGAGAGAATGGTCAAGGGTATAGGAAAAGCAGGAGGAAGGGCTGGTTTAAGTAGCTCATCAGAATCCCGAGATTTTGAACAGGAGACGCATTTGGTTCTGGAAACTGTATCGGCAGAGCTTCATGCATTGTCATGGATGACGGTTAGTCCTGCGTATTTGGAGAGGAGAACTGCATTGCCTTTCCATTGTGATATGGTTTTGAGACTCAGAAGGCTTCTTCACTTTGCTGATAAAGAGCTGTCACGACAACCTGAGCAGCCACAATCATAGAAACTGGAATCCTCAATTCCACTATCTGATACCATTTAGCTACAGAATGATGTATGCATACAAAGGTCGAAGCATTGGTAGCTCGTTTTTTATTTTTCTTTTTTTTCCGTTTTCCTCCCTTTCTGTTTTGATTTACTGGGGTTCCAGAATAGAAGTGGCAGTAGATGAGTCTAGGTGTAGGACAGAATATGGGAAGGTTTTGTACATGGTGTAATTTGAAGGAGAAAATAGGTGCAGAGGTAGTGGGTTCATAGCTTCGTACATGATGTAATTTAGGAGTTATATGTAAGTTTCCTATAGCATGTAACTGGATACAGGTAGATTAAATTGATGTTGAGAAACAATGATTTTGGTGTACATGAGGATTCTCACTCGATTGATGGGATCAATTTGTGGTCGGGAAGGAGATCTAATTGTAATGGGAAATAAAGATTTGTTTTTTGCTTTTTATTTTTGTGGAAAAAAAAAACTATTTTGCTAAATGATGAAATTTTTTATTACAAAAAGAAAAGACTTTGAAACATAAAACAGAGTATGAACTGTTGTTTAATTAGTTATTACAAAATCAATAATATTTATGGTATTGTACAATACAAAAACAAATTATTATTATTCGTATGGGAAGAACTGGAATCTTGGTGAGAAGTAGCCAAATGATTCCGGAGGAGAATTGAAAGAATTGCCAAAAAAAGAGTATGTATGCTGCGAATAATGTTCCTTGCATCCCACGGATGCATGAAATGTAAAAAAAATTCAGAGAAATTGGATGGAAGCCCACCAAATATTCACATTCAATTTAAATGAGAAGAAGCAGATGACAGCTGAATGAAGAAATTATTAAGCAGACTGTCTACAATACCTCCATATCCACAAGGAAACCCCGCTTTGTACAAGGAAACCACCATAACAAGAGAACGATGAAAAGAATCATAACACCATTGCATAATATAGTCAAGAGTGGTTTTAACATATTTACAATTCTCTTTTCACCTATCAAATCAACTCCCGGTTCCAAAACTGTGGTCCCCACCCCTCCCAAAAACACACACACACAAAAAAAAAAAAACACCACCCACCCAAATTAGCTCCTATTTTCAGCAAATTAAAATTACATTTTCAAACAGCAATCTAACCTAATAGCTTTCCTATATGTTAAAAGTTAAAACCCCTTCCCTACTCCAAATGTACATGATTAGATTCTATATATATTCATATCCCTACAACAGGCTACTCATTTACATTTTCCTTTCTGATCCCTCCTCAAGAACCCCTCCCTCCATTTTACCAGTTGCCAGATCAAGTTTGAACCTTGCAACACGGCATAAGGATTAATCCACAAAAGCCACATCCCCAGCCAGGACAAAAACCCACCAGGATGCCATCATCACCACCTCGCACAGCCACTCTTATCCAGCTGCAATCCCTAATCACAAAACACTTCAGCAGATACATCTAGAACAAACAAAACAAGAGCAAACAAAACCCTCAGTAACAACAACTAAGTCCTCCCCACATCTTTCAATTCAGCATATGCAATTGAGCCCTCAACCTCGGCTTTAAAATTCTGTTTTGGTCCTCCATCTTCTGAATTTCAATTTAGTCCTGTCCATCCCTCCCATTCAATAATTTGATTCAATTGGTTTTATTCGAAGCAATGGTCAAAATCATTTTCCACCAGATTAAACATGTGCGATCAAAATGAATAAAATTTTCAAACAGCAAAGGTTGCTCGAAAATGGCTAGTTGCAACGTCTATAGTTTCAACTCTTATAACCATCTGCAACTGTTGGATTACAGTTGAACATTTAGAAGACGACTGACCAAAGTGATCCAAAGCTAGAAGCTGAGAAAATAATGGCGTGATTTATCCCATACTTTTTACTTCCATCTTAACTCCTAATTTTTTATTTTTTTATTTTTTTGCCTAACACTCCTAGTATCTAAGAGCAAAAGATGACAAAGAAGCTTACAATCCAAAAATATGGTATCGAATAAGTTTTTGAGAAAGAGAAAATTACCGTGTCATCTACCTCGAGTTGGAATTGCTCCTTCCAGCTGGGATGATCAACAGGCACAAACCCGGAGTCCAATCTTTCTAAAAGGGGATATCAGGGAAGGAAAAAGGAACCACATACAAGCCCTCAACATGTGATGCTATAAGGGTTCAAGAACTACTGAAGCTTTTGTAAACACCGAAAGTACAAAAGGCGCCTCTTCTCCTGGGTGTATGGTTGTTGGGACTATAGTGTAACCTTTAGGATCGGGATCAAGAACCATCTCACAAGATATTTCCCGAGAATTTACATAATCTGTGCCACCAACTGATTCATGCAAGTATATATTATAAGCAGCACGACGTCCACGTGTCTTCAGGATCCTCATCCCAATATAGAACATCATAGAGTCATGGCTAGACTGGTAATTCCTGAAGCCTGCGGTCGTTCTTGAGAAGCTCACGCCCTACAAATGAGAAGAATGACTTACCAACATGACGCCATTATTCTATAGTGAACAAAAAAAGTCAAGCAAAAAAATAGAACAGGTACCTGAGTTAAGGTAATGAAAACATGTATGGGAAACGATGCATCAGGCCCAGTAGCCCTTAAACGGAACTGTGGGTTTTGGTGCCACGTGTCATAATCCTGACAGCCACCAGCAGTATATCCTCGCCACTGACCATGGACCGAATACCGCATTTCTGGGGGATAAACACGACAAACATATATTGATCTAAAGTGTATCTGGAAGTCTTGCCAAGACATCCAGAATATACCATCTTTTGCCTGGTTTAGGGACATTACACCAAACAATTTGGATCAGGAATATGTTACCAATACCTAACAAAGAACAAACCGAGCAAGCAGGTAAAGCCAGCAGGTTTAATGCAAACCTGGGGAACATGTTTGAGCTTGTGTTTTATCCTATCAGTCCATTCTGGTGACGAATCAGACCACGGTCCATTCCATTCGACCTCACTTGCCCAAGGATTTCGGATCTGAACAAGCTTGTGGCCATCCACTTCTCTGACCTGTGAATGCAAGGATTAAATACTAGTACAATTGGCTACCACTGGGATGAGACTATTTTCTTACAAATAACTCGGAGAGTAACTTTACCTGCAATATTGAATACGCGTGTCCTTGAACAATCCCACTCGATGAAATGTGAACATCTGAACCAGAAGGGCTACCTGCGCCTAACAAGAAGCCCTCTTGTTTAAAGCGTAATAACTGAGACCACAACCTTCCACTTGCAAGATCAATCTGCGCTTCGGCACTTCTCATGTCAATCTCCTCACCCGCACCTCCAGTAAGATCCACGAGTGCATCCTGAACAAGCCCTCCTTCTAATGCTTCATATGACCCATGAAGCTTTGCATACGCCTTTTCCAATATAGAGACCCATAATTCATTCAGCTTCTTGCTCGTAGCAAATGCAGGCTTACCAGGTGATTCACACGGAATCCAGTCATCAACCACAACTGGAACCCATTCACCCTGCAATTCTCATACCCCAAGAAAAAAAAAAAAGGAAAAAGACGAAAATAATCATACAACAGAAGAAAAGGACAATCAAAGCATAATAAATGCATTTAAAATTAGTAATTAGCCGAGCGAATAAATTGTTGAAATTTCTTCCAATCATGGAATTACTGAGAACAGGTTACTTTTTTCTGCCCCATTTTTCCCATGAAATTGGTGAAACATCAGCAGAGGCAAGAAGGGACGAATCAGATTAACTTTTTGGCTAAGTATAAAAAAAACATACCTGTATACAGAAGCGAACTGTATAGACCCCTTCCTCATTGTACTCTGGCGTGATTATAACTTTCGATACATGTGATACCTCCGCCAAGACAGCAACAGCACTCAAAAACCAACAATCACCCAATCGGCCCTATTCAAAAATCAGAACTTTATAAGTGTACAATATGAAATAAGCTGTTAACATAAATTCATCAAGAGGATAAAGAAAAATGGAGACCTTTCAAATAATGCAATACCTGGCAAACATCTGATGGATTTGCAGTTCCTGAAAACAAGCACGGTTGACAATCCAGGTGCTTCTCCCTTACAATTTCTCTGGGCCTCATCCAATTAGAGACAACCTAAATCAATCAATAGGCAGTATTATAATGTGTGACTTAGTGAGCAAAAGAGAGACATATCTATGAATTCAGTAAAGATAACTCACCTGCAACTTCGAAGGGGGATTATCAGGATCAACAAACAAGGAGCGGTTGTTGGGAGGGAACTCTTGATCTGTAAAATGAGTATCTCCTCTGGCCAAGAGAGATTCTTTGACAGCTTGTTCAACCGAAAGCATCCGCTGGTTGATTTCTTCCTGTGTCTCGGTCCGATGTTTCCTCAATCTCCGAGTAAAGGAGTCAACGTCCACAACAAACCCTTCCCGATCAGATCTCCTCTTCCTGCCACTTGAGTATTGGCCATCCCAATCTACATCATCCCTGTCATAAAGATCCACGTCTGCAGGATCACTGTCCCAATCATCAACCTAAACAAAAGACAAGTAAGATCTCATCAGAGTGGTTAAAAATTTACAACAACCTTTTTGAATTGATGGAAAAGAAGTAAATTGAAAAAAGTAGTAACTGAAGGGTGGCCATTAGTTCGTGTGGCAGGATGAAGGTTGGAGTTGGTTCTTCAATATTGTTTACATGAGATGAAACTAACATGTTTTCATTTGTGCCTACTAAAATTGCGTCATTTTGCATGTACTGTTCATGTCAAGTTAAAAAATTGTCACCTAGTGAAAGCATTACCAAAAAAAGCCTCTTTCAAACATGCGAGGAAGTAAATAGACTTGGTAATAGCCAATATCACCATTAAACTCGAGAAAAACATGCTTGAAACAGTTTGACGAACTATGTGCCTTACCCTAGAAGGAGAATCGCCCCAATGCCAATTATCATCCGGGAGATCAACTGCATTGTAATCAGCAGAACCCATGGCAGTAGGCAGGGAAGCAATCTCATCTTCAGTCAAGCATCTTCCCCAAAGGAAAACATCCATTATATGCATTTTGGACTCAGCTCCTTCACTATCTGACCTCCCAAAAGCATCCAAATCAACAGGTGGTCTAATGCCTACCCAAATTTCTGTTCCTTCCTCCCATATGCTGCTTCCTACAGAGAGTGGTAACCCCGTTTGGTAGCCATCAAAATTACCATTTAGATAGCAACTCACCTCGCCTATATCAGCATCAATCGTGACCGTAACAATATGCCACCTACAAAGCAATGTCCATCGTGAAGATTTATTGGGAAAAAAAAATTAAAAAAATCAAAAATAAATAAAATAATAATAATAATAATAAATCCCTTTGAAGCCATTGAAAGAATGAATGCTTGGGCAAATTTTTGGGGACACAAACCTCCCATCTGCAATACTTGCAGCACCAATGTTCCACTCTCGAGCCATGGTGGTTTGTCTATCACCTTTTGTAATCAATCTAAGCCCTACTTGACCAGCTTCAATGCCTTGTTCAGAACCAGCCACGAGAATTTCCCAGCACAATTGCTTCTGAAATTCAGTTCCAAAAAGGCAAATTGGCCCCGACTCAGGCTGGATCATCACAGTAAGAGAAAAGGTAACTTTTCGGCTTTGACAAATGCTAGAATCAATCACACCACAGTGTCTGCCGCTACTTGTGGGTTCGTCATCAAGAACACAAACAGCACCATCAAGTTTTGTCTGTAATATAAGCAAAAGAACGAACAACAAAACATTAGCCATCACTCAAATATCTACCAAGCACACAAGGAAGAAGAAATAGAGGTCCTCCATATAAAAGCTAGCATCATAGTATAATTATAGTAGTAAATTGAAAACAATGGGAACCTGAAGTGCTCGTCGAGATAACTGCGCAGCTCGTATGCGACGCGCAATATTTGCCACTCTCTCGCGAGCAAAAGAATCATCCAGAACAGAATCACCCCCAACTGCACGCACAGCAACTGCCATGGCTGCTGCCTCCCTGCTACCGGCGTTTGGAATTGAGGACATAAGACTAGCCTCTATCTCCTTCCACTTCCGTTCTTCCTTTTCCAGAAGAACCTTCCTCCTTTCTTTACCCCTACCTTCCTCTTCACGCCTCTGCATTAAGATTTCCTCTTCCATCTCCTTTTCTCTTATATAACTGCAGGTTGAAAAATTTTAGGGAAAAAAAAAAACCACCCGTACTCTAAGAGGAAAACCAGATTGTAAAGATATTACTTCAGGATGTTCTTTAGCGAAAGAAAAAAGCAAGATTAACAATGTTTTTGGCTATATCATTTACCTCTCCTGTATTATCTCAAATTGCCTACGATCTTCTGGCAGCCATTTCTTGATTTTCTTTGCAGTTAAATCTGAAAAACCAATACTATCGAGGAAAAGTCTCAAACGAACCTCATCCTGTATTTAAGGGAAAAAAATGCAAGCCATTGGTTATCAGGACACAAGAGGAAAGCAAATAAGGCAAATTACCTGGGTTGCCCAATAAATTTACACCATCTATCAGTTTCATTTAATGAACGTATTTATGTCACAGTACCCATCAACATTTTGAAGTGGTCACATTTGTCCACTATTCTAGTTTTAAGGCCTAAATTTTGACTGAATCAGAAAAGCTTCACTTAATTTTGGCTTATTCCTTCAAATAAACGCCTAAAATGATTGGAAAGACCAAAAGTGACCAACCTACAAAGCAATAGGTGATCCGTTGAGCCAAAAGAAAAAAGTGGCTTGAGGCAATCAATTGAAAATATTCAATAGCCTCCCAAGTAATTTACCCGTTAAATAATCAAAAGCAAATCAAGCAGCAAAATCACATTCACCTGCACTCGCTCAGCCTTAGCAGTCAAACCAAGCAGAAGAAGTAGATAGCCACCGAACTTGTCCCACATATACACCCATTCCGTATCAATTGCCTCCTCCAGAGCTAGAATTCGGGCATGAGCACACATTTCTCTTCTGTGTCCGATGTCACCGGCTGAGTCATGCCTCAGCATCCTCCTGCTTCTTAGCCTACCGAAGAATGATCCAGCAACTAGCTCTTCATTTCTGAGACGATCTCTTAATTTCATGACATCAGCCCTAGGGAGCACAAAATTCCCAGCCCTATCCCGTGTTGCAGTGGGATCCCCAACCAAAAGGGCAGCTGAACTCGCCGATCTCTGTGGAGCAGAGTAAGTACCAGATAGTGCGTTCCTTGTCTGCATTATTAAAAGTGAAAATTTTCAGAATAAAAAGTAAATAATACCTTTATAGCAGGAGAGGAAGGCACAAGATTAAACAGAGGAAGACAGACAGAATATAAAAAGTAATGAGAACATCATCTTCAACATGAAGTTGTTCATAATTACAAGATAACTACATAATTATGGCAAGGATACACTTTATTTGATAAATCAGCTATTATAATCAAAAGACATCACTAAAATAATTCAAGATTCAACAATCAAACTCAGCTCTAAAATTAATCAGAAAGCCGAACAAACAATCGCAGTGTTGAGCAACAGGAAAGCTAAAAAGACCTCATAAGAAATGTTTTTCCTACAGTATCAATGGACTGCACAACCTGCCTTATAGGAGGTGAATCAGACGACAGACCAAACTAGCCTTTAGGCTCACAACTCAGTGTTCCTCTACACTAACAACTACATACACCCAAAATAAAACTACTTGGAGCATATAGAAAGACAGAAAAGAAGAAAGGTTATCAGCACCAAGTCACATAAGCTATATACAATCACTCATTCATCTGATAACCTTCCCCAATTGACAAAATTTAATAGCATGATCACATGAGATCAGTTAACGAAATCTACAATCACAATACATATATCGACTCATGTAGCAATAGGTGCAAGAGCAGTGCAGCAGTTTAAGCCAAGAAAAGGCATAGGAGAAAAGCTCTTATCTTTACCTCAATCATTATTACGGGCAGCAGGAACAAAACTAAATGGACAAGGAATCAGGTATAGCAAAAAGAAAAGCACCTTGGTAGCAGAACGTCCGATTGCCTGAACTACAGTTTCCTTACTGAGAAACTGGACAGCATCTTCCACCATCTGATTCAAGAGAAGGAGGACTTTGGTAGACTGGAATATGATTAACGATGCAAAACTAGAGTTCTAGATAGGGAAATTGATTAGAGAAAATGAAAAATAATTCAGCATAGCTCATATGATTCTCATGAAAGATAAGCAAACCTCGAGAGTTAGGCAGGGTCGAGAAACAGCAAATCCAAAAGACACGACAAGAGTAATAGCAGATACTGCAGCACCAGCAAAGGGAGGATGGATCTTTAAGCTGGCAACAACGCCCCAGCCCTCGATAGCAAGTGCAATTCCATAAAGCAGAAGAAATGCCCCACTGTAAATAACATCAAAACACATCACAAATCATAACAAAAAAGGCAAGAGTGAATCAGCGAAAAGTCCAATATCAAGTATATACCATACCTAACATTCTTTCCACAATCAGCATGAGCATCATAAACGTACACGGGCAGAACCCTAGGGGAATACACCACTATAGGAGGTGAAAGAAGCACCTGAAAATATGCAAATAAGGTATTGAAAAACTTGGTCATTGAGCAAAATCCCAAAAGTAAACAACACCTGCAAAATATAATAGAAAGAAAGCATGCTTTAAAAGAAAACTAAGCTCAATAAGCCACTAAACTATTATTTACAAAAAGAAGCTCAAAGAACCACTTCAGCGATGATGGTATCGAACAAAAAGTTACTCACAGTTAATGCCCTTCCAGCCAAAAGGAAAAGAAATGAGAAGTAACCAACCGAGGCACCAACAAAAGCTTTCCCTGATATAAATCCATAAATGAGAGGATGAAACAAATATAACTATGCTTGAAGCTTTCTCTAAAAATTAAGCAACAATATGAGCATTTTTACCTCGAAACCATCCAACAAGAAATGCAGCCAAGGCCAAAAGGAAGGCAAGGAAACATACAAATAACATCTGAATGCGAGTCAGGTAGAAATTGTTTGTGGCCCAGTAGTGAATGACACCAATTGCCAACACAATCAGAAGAAGAACCAAGAGAAACGACGCCCCAATCTGTTGAAATTGCCAACGAAATACCAACCAATACACAATGTGTAAACGCCTTCCAATGAAACGAGTTATAGATATATTTAAATCAAATTCACATTAAATTACCGTCCACGGTTTAATTATAACAATAATGGCCGAAATTGCACTGAGTAACAGAAGCAGCCCAATGAAGATGAATGTGTAAGCACCTCGTGTAAGTTTCCAGTTGTCGTCTTTCCTGGAGTCCATACGTTATTCATCTTCAGTTAAAAATGTAAATGCATCTTAGGATACGTTATAAGAAAAGCCCAAAAGCTCAAAGATTACATACCATTTAAGCAACCCAGAACAAAGTGATAAGAGAGCTGGAATGCAAATTAACGGAAGTAAAGCGGCAAGAAAATCAGCCTTCGTCGGAACCCCATCATCCCGAGAACTCACAACCTCCAGATAGGATGCACCACAAAACACAACAAGGACAGCTACAAGAAGGACAACAGCAAAATCATTTTTCTACCAAAAACATCATGTAAAAAATAAAAAATAAAATAAAATTATAAAATAACAAAAGAAGTCATGCAGAAATAAGAGGTTTTTATTACCAGCAAAGATACCAACACAGATAGCTGATGATAGAGAAAATCGATAAGTTGCAAACCAAGAAACTATTGGAAGTGATCCAGTGACCACTAGAGCAATAGCAGAAGCCATGGCCCACCCCAGGTACACAGATGAAGCATAAGGAGACGTAACTCTGTTTTGTCCACCAGACAACAGCTTATAGCCTAAGACATCCAAAGGCTTTGCTGAAACTATAGCACCAAGGGCTAATACCGATCCACAAAATAAGACAATGCAGATGCAAAGAACAACTCCCTGAAAGCAAAAAAAGAGGGTTGTTCATTCAAAAACACAGAAAGAAGGCCAAGTGAAAGATCCAATAGTAACAAAGCTTCAATTAAGTGTCTAATAAACAATGAAAATTCAATCTCTTCGTCCACAAAATAGGGTCCAACACAGCATTAAAATGAAAAGGTAAAATAATAAGCTAAGTTCAATTTTTAAGCGGTTCTTTAACCTCGATATCATCATCACGGCTTTTCTAAGATGCACAATTCAGACTTCTTTTTTACCACTGTGCAACTCAGAACTAAAAGTGCAGCCCAACAATAAAAAGTGTGGCTTAGCAACCCCCCAGCCCACCCCAAAAAAAGACGGGTCATCCCATAAATGGGCGAACTCATTAAACAAGCAAAAGGAAAGAGGAGAAAAACATTGATGTAGCAAATAGTAACATTAATTTTGTGATTAAAATAGAATTATATTGGAAACTTTAACAGAGAGTCAAAGGGGCTCAAGACCTCCTTCATTCCCAGGATGTGATGGTGACCAGCAGGAACCACATTCTCAATTCTTGAGACCCAAAACTGGTAACCATTGCGAACCCATATAGGAATGGCGACAGAGAGGCATGCTACCATCAGAGGCACAGTCAAAGACAGTCCAAGAAGAAGTGATGATTTGCTGCAAATTATGAAGGGAAACAAAAAGTTCAATTTGAATGTAAGCATTTCAATTTGAATGTAAGCATTTACTGGATAAAGATACTGACAAGATGTTTCATATTATTTTCGGGGTGCAATAATAGATGCAATAGACATAATCCACAATTGAGTGATACCTCAAGAACGAAAGCAGCAAACCCACACAAGTACTCAGCATCCAAGCAATGAAACCGTACTGCAACAAGATAATACAAATTTATAAAAAATTGAACCTCATTTATAAATATATTGATAGGAGAAATTGAATACTTCTAATTGCTTGCATAGAGCGTATCAATTTCTTCACATAAAAGTGATATAAAACAAAATTTCAGATGTCCAATATTTGCCTTCTGCGGAAACAATTCCCTTTCAAAGGAGCTCATTAATGATCACACGTTAGTAAACATATATAGTTAGCTAGAATCTGTGTTCCTGTTTTCCAGGACAGAAAGCAATACTCGCGAAATTTTGAAATACCTTGCGAGGTTTTGAAGTCATGACCAAATCTTCAGCTTGAAGAGATCGAAGGAACGCCATGATTGAGCAAACAACAGGTGACAAAAGGAGCACCGCACAGCCAAACTCAAACTACAAAGCAAATTTTAACTAATATTTAGGTAAAAGAATTCAGTACAGGAAGAGATAAGTAAGCTCTACAACCAAAGGTTAACTAACCTGCTGATGGCTAGCATTTATAAGACTAATTGGTTTTGGCCGGTAGACAGCGACAATGACAGTTTCAAGGATAAACACCAAACTAAACAGCAACCATGCTCGCTGCGGGGTACCGGCTATGTGGTGCAAAACTATTCTACAAAAATGAAGCCACTTTCCGAGTCCTCTCCGTCTGAGTTCCTCTGAGAATGATATTTGATTAGGCAGCAGCACATTGCCAATTACACTGTTTGAATCATTAATTCTCACTTCTGTGTTGTCACGATGATCTCTATCTGCATCCAAGCTACTTCTCTGAAGCAAAGCAAGGATTCTTGGGTCTAGCCCATTATCCTTCAGCATCATAGCAAAATTAGGGTCCAATCCTTTATTTTGCAATAAATTAGAGATTTCTTGTTCTCTGAGTCCTGCTCTCCTTTTTAACATAGATGCAAGTCTTGGATCATTCAACTTCTCCTGGAAAGATAGATCCAAATTCAACTCAAGAGCTTGCTGATGATTTGCAGACACTGATGTGCTAGACTCACAACCCTGACTTTCAAGGCCACTACTAGAACAAGCTACCAAACAATTAATGTAGTCAACGTTTTTATCGGCATTGAGGAGTCCTACTTCAGGTTCTTGAACAGCTGACCGGCAAGAACTACTGTGTAATGCTATACTTGGCCGCCCACTTTCTATGCTTTTATCACTATTATTCCCCTCAACATTATTCCAATTACTAGGATCACCGACGCAAGGAGCTGCACCGTGCCCAAGGTTACCAGCATCAGCACTACTACTGCGTTTGATACTTGAACCACACGCATCAGAAGAGCTGGACGAACTGTTTTGCTCTTTTTTCCGGAAACCTTCTCTTAGACGAATTACAGTGCTCTGCAATGCATCCCTTCTTGCTGCAAAAGGATTTGTTACTGAAAAATGCCGCGAAACAGCAGCACCCAGAAGAACAGAAGCTACAACCGCATAGCTCACACAATGTCCTAGATACCTGTAAGAAAACAGCGAAAAACAGAAAGAAATTTTTAGCTCTTATTTTGTTGCAATATGGATTGTCAACAAAGAAAATAAACAAACCAGTAATGGACTCCAAAGCAGATCAGGAAGACCCGAGAAGCTCCAGCAACAAAAAGCACTGCAACCCGACTTTTAAGAAGCCGAAAGCCATACAAACATGCTCCCATGTTCCAATCTGACAGCAAAAGCAACAGTAAGAGATTTCATGAAGGAAAAAACTATACACAACAACTTCATTCCAGATGCACAACGATACAAACAAAAGGTACCGCGGCATAGTGGTAGAAATAAAAAGAAGCTACAGTAAATGGTTCGGAAGTTTGAAAAACATAAGATAGATGATGTACCGAGAATGATGACAGCTGCAGATGTAATAGCCCCAAGCCAGTGTGACTCTTTAGCCGTCAAACCATACAATAGAGAATATACAAAAAGAACGACAAGTGAGCCAACATAGAGCAGCCCAAGATGTGAGGCCCTGCATTAATGTTTTACATATAGAGCATATAAGTTTCCGAGCCAACAAATGGAGGCCATTAATTTGTTATCCTCTATAACACAGATAATGGAAATTTTCCTTGCCTACTAGATTGTCGAGGATACAACTCATTCGGGTTTGGTGGTTCCTGCAAGCATGAAACTGGGCCCACTTCGATACAATCAGAGTAAGCAAATTTATAAGCCTTCCTCACATATTCATCAACATCCAAGCCATTGCCTAGTAAAGTTTAAAATATTAGAATCCAAAGCTGGAGGGTTTGGGATAGACTATGAAGAGGTTAAAGAGGATAAGACCAAACTGAATCATCAAGTCAGGAAAACCTGATTCGTTTGTATACCGGGGAAGAAAGGGGATTCATTTGTATACCGGGGAAGAAAGGGGATATTCCTTTATTTTAAAACAAATAATAAATAAAGAAGTAACCACGAAGTCGAAATCCCGAACTTACCATTAAAAACCATTCTACAAATGAAAAGCATGTTAATGGCCAGAGCAATGGCTGAAACACCAAAGAAAAATCCAGAAGGTGAATAGCGCTCGGATGCTCTAGCACCTGCCGTAACATACACTGCACATAGTTCGTATGCACATAGCAAACCAACAGCTAGGAGAAGCAGAACTGCAACTGCCCCTGCACAAATATGCGACATCATGTATCAGAGATTCAGCTCCAGATCTTCACAAATCACAACAAAGATAATGAATTTGGGAGGAGGACACTTGGCATCATGGTCACTGACTAAGAAAATGAGGACATTACAAATAATTGGCAAATGTCAAACTCTATGTCAATTATATAAATGCATGAAATCCCTAATAAAATTTCAAGAAAATACCCAGCATTTGATCTCCAAATGGAAGGATTCCACTTCTTAAGAAGGAAAGAAGCTTCAACGTGGAAACATAAAAGACTTACAAATACAATCGCTAAACTCAGCCGTATCATACATTATAATTTATTAACTCATCTCTATATTAGCCTTGCGAAAGACTAATTAGGAACGACAGGTTTCAACAAAGTACCCACGCGATTATTTTAAGTGAAGTTAATAAACGCATGCTCTGGTAAAATTTCCCTCGGACGTAGCTGGATTCCAATAGCATTGCCATATATAGGAGACCTACTACTACTGCCAGTTACTGCTTTCATCTGACTGTACAAATGTTGCATTCAGAAATATTACAGTCAGTACCAAATCAACAACTACTTCAGATCTGCTTCAACTCGTTTATCTGAAACTTAACTACTACTGCCTAAACATATTAACCAATTACGGGAACAGATAAAATCAGATATACTACCAGCAGGTGACACTGATACGAGGGCAAGTATAAGAAATAATAATCATTAGAAATAATAATCATTTTAAGTGTTAGCGGTACTCTCCTGTTACTTCAACATCATGGAAGACAACTAAGTCATTACACAAAGGTATATAATACGAAACTTAAAGCTAATTTGGAAGACATTCTTATTCAGCACTAACAAAAGCAACCATTTGTCGAACAAACCTTACAGGACACGAGGTGCACTATTAAAAAGAGTTCTGCCGTTTGAGAAATGATAAGATTTTATTAAAATTAATTTTCAGCTAAAGAGAACAGTACGTACTTGAGCTTTGCCATTGAGTTCTCCACCAAAGCATTATGGAATAAAATGCCAAAAGAAGAGCAATACCCGCCATAATGACAGCTAAACCAATTATGTCCCGACCAAGTATCAAAATTAACCAGCATCCCCATAAGATTAGCACTGTAACTGGAGAAATGACAATTATCCAAGCAGCAGAAGACAGAAAGCTGCATAATACTCCTAGATGCGGTCCTTGTAAGAATCCTGGCCATTTTCGGGCGAAGATCCAACTGAAATAACAAATGTGCATCAAATAATAAATAAACATTGAAAACAATAATTACTTAATCCAAGCTCACCATATATTTAATTTAATATATTAGCATAGCACACCAAATATTGACGATGAGGGAGATGAAGACGTGCAAATGAAATGAAATCCAGATCCCCATAAGTAAATACACCAAACATCATTGCAATGAGGTTAAATAAGTATACTCCCTCTGTCCTGGGAAAATAGTCCACATACAATTGTGAACTGTACTGTTTTCAGTACAATTCATACACTACAATGTGGACTATTTTTTTGGGACAGAGGGAGTACCTAGCTAGCTTGTTCAAAGACACTAGTCCTTGTGGCTTCTGTCATGATAAACCCAGCACCTTTTTCCAATTCAACAAGCATTCTCAATATGCATCTTACATGCAAATCGCTAACGCCATCAGTAACCTCTCACGTCACTCACAATATTTCACATTCAAGTTCAAGACATTACTTGCCAGAATTTCTAATTTAGTATACTTTGTTCAATGAGATTTTCAGAACAAATGCCTATCGTGCCTGAAAACTATGTTTTCTCAACCATTCCAAGTAAATTTCATTCGGTGCACCACCAGCATAACTATATCTCGCCCAGTTATGTCTTTCTTTTCAGGTTTTTGTCCCAATACTAAACTTTATCCATTTGTGTTTGACAATTATGACGAAAATGGGCCTACATTCTACAACAATTAACAAAAATATAAATGTCCCTAAAACTCTCCAGACTTGACAATCTTTGATAGTTCAGCATAATCACAGACAGCTAATGAAGTCAAACATTAAAAGCTTTAGTAAGAGTAGCTCATCATTAATACATAAATCAGCACTAAATGACAATCCTTTCTAGTTCACCATACTCATCTCATTAAGTGAACACAATAATTGATATACAAACAATTAAGTTCCGATCAGTCCAAGTGGCAACAGTTCAACTTTCCACCGATTACTTAAAATTAGGTGCAATTGGGAGAAAACAATGACTCCACAATGACTCCACCACAACTAAGTGGACCTCATGTGCATCGCCATAAAACCATCTATACCAATTCTGTAGCATCTTAGGTAATTTACTAATGATGGATAAAATAGGAAGGAAAAGAACAAACTTATGGAGTTAACTCAAAAGCAAGAAACTGGTGCATTACATTAAATGAAATACTAAAATTCAATCACAAAATTAATAAGTTAAACAAGAGCGTAGTTACCTATATATGCGCCATGGGCGCCAGTTCACTGCCCAGAGTATGGCGAAAGAAGCTGAGCCCAAAACAGAGAAAAGCGTACCCGAAAGCACGCACGCCAGCATCAACTCATCATGCCTCTCCATCCCCACAACTACCTTTTTTCCTCCCTGAACTGCCAAATGAAGATTACTCAATCACACATCCACCAAAAATCTCAAATTTCAGCTAAAAAAATACACACATCAACAGTATAATTACAAAACTCATAGAAGCAGAGAAACTTCGTCCATAAAAGATTTACTCGATAACTAGAAGAGACAAACAAAAATGCATAATTGGCATGCTTAAAGCTCACTGAACCCCAGCTAAAATCAAAACCTTGTAGCAAATGAAAAGGGGGGGAAAAAACAAGCAATGGAGACATTCAGAACAATGACTCCAAAAAAGTTAAAATCCAGAAAAATGAAAATTAATAAAACTAGAAGAGTCAGAATCAATTCCTTACTTCAGTGAAGTGAAGCTGGCATGGACATAAAATTGAGCATTGTTGAGGGAAATCCCAACAGCAGAATACTCCGGGCAGTTAACACAGCCTAATTCAAGAAATGGAAAGTGGTCTAGGGTTTATCCCCAGGTTAGGTTCACGGAATTGAAGCAAGAAAAAAAAAAAAAAAGTGGGAAAAAAGAAGTGAAAAAGACAGAGTCTTTGAGTCAAAATTAGGAGAGTAGAGTCAGAGTCAGCTTCATTTCTTGTCCAAGACTCACAATTTTTATTACAAAACCCTACAAACATTCATTCATTTTTTCCCCCATTCGCACACATTTTTTCCTCTTATTCTCTCACAGTCTCACTGCGTCACTGTGTGTGTGTGTGTGTGTGTTCACATAGCAAAAGTGAAAAGGAAACGGGGGTAATTAAAAAACAAAAAATAAATAAAGAAAAGGGTGGAAGGTGTTGGAGAAGAAGAGAGAAAAAGTAATGAGTAAAAAGGTCAAATTAAAATCTTGAAGGACTAAGACTGATATTGTAATAAAATATAGAAATGTGTTTCTCCTTTCTACGCTTCCACTCGAGATGTCGGATCGTGATTGTACGCTCCGTATTTGATGTGTGGTTTTTTTTTTTTTAACATGTACTATATGTTCGTGCCGGTTTAATTCATATACATTTATAAAAATATATATATATTGAAATTTAAATGCACTAAATATAAATGAATTTATTAGTTTATAATAAAAATACTATATGAGTAAAAGTAAATTAACTGTAAGCCAAAAAAAAAAAAAAACAAACTTCATAAAACACATTAACTTATATGGTGAATTTTAATTATTCCCTAGCCCTTAAATGTATAACCTCATAGGGCAAAAGTTTAACTATGGACGGCTATGATTCATTTAATGTATATTTTCCTTACAAAGTTTTCCTACAATAATTATTATTCAATTGATATATTATTTAAGAAGACTAAATCCATATACTGTTACACCAAAAATAATTTTTACACTATTGATTTAAAAAAGCAAGTGAATGAGAGGGATTGGAAAATGAATATGAATGCATCTCTTAGATTTTATTATTTTACCACTTAAAACACATTAACTCTTAGTGTAATTTAAATTTCAATTGTTCATAAGTTTAATTTATCATTCATATTCTCCATTATTTCAGCCAAAATAAAAATTCTTCTTATTGTTTATTATTTTTCCTTTTGGATAATTTTCTATCTTTTTCAATAAAAAGGCAAGTAGTATCCACTAAGAGAAAAAGTATCCAAAAATTAAAAAAAAAAATAACAATATATCCTCCTAAAGAATATGTAATAATTTGAATATGTGGTAAAAAGAAACAAGTTAACTGCACCCATTGATACTTTGGATACATTGGTTTCTCCCTCTTATTTCTTATTTGTCTTAGGAAAAAAAGAGGGATCCATGAAACTAATCTAGTACAATTCAAAATCTGTTGGAGAAAATAGGGTTAGTGAGAGTTTATAATTACTCTAGTTAAGATATTAAAAGGTTGTTGCTAAAAATAATAAGGCCAACAATTATCCATAATCACAATTACAAATTCAGTTGATCAAATAACCTGTAATTCCAGCCACGCGGCCGGCGGCGGCACCGGCGGTGGAGGTGGTCTAAAAATATTATTATTTTATATAAAATATTACCGAAACAACTTTTTAAAGTTTTTTCAATACGCATTTTAAATCACATCTTAAAACCAAATCAAAAACTAAAACAAAAACAAAAACAAAATGTTGGCCAAATAAGCCCTAATTATTTCACCACATCAATTACTAATTAATGTTGATTGATTGGTTTTAAACAAATTTAATTGTTTTTTTAATAAAACCTATTCAAAATTGTTGGAGGGAATTCATTCAATCACATTAATTGATAATATTGTTTCTTAAAATATACAATCATCCACTTCACGATATCAATTATTAATTAATATTGATTGATTAGTTTTTAAAAAATTTAATTATTTAGGATTTTTTTAATAACACCTATTCAAAATTGCTAGAGGGAATTTTTTGTTTTTTAAAGGGAATTCAATCTATCACATTACTTGATAATTGATCATGATTGGACGTTGATTTTCTTATTATGACTATCTATTAATTATTTCATCTTTCCATTTGCAGCTAATCATTTAAATGAAGGGTCATAACATTTATTTACATAAAATTTCAAGGACTTTTTCTGTAATTGTGTAAACTTTTATTTTTACTATTTATTAGAGAATTGACACATGGAATTTTTATCCTATGTAACACCTTTAGAACTTTCTTTTGTTTTCTCTTTCTGGTATTTCTCTTATATAATACTATAGATAGATATTACTTAAATATAAATACCTAAACTATTACGACGTATTTTGCTAAATGTTAAATTATGTAATTCTGCGGCATCTTGCCTATTAACTTTAACCAGTTGACAAGATTGAAAAGAGGTAATAAGAGAAATTAAAAGAGAAACTATTTCCTGATGTGTAGTTACTACTTTTGGTCTTAAAAAATTGATTTTTTTGACACAATTGATTTTAATAGAATTTTTTCATTTACTAAATCTCAATATTGCTTGATGCGCCATTTGACATATTACATGAAAGGGAAAATTCCAAAAAAAATAATAATAAGAAGAAAGAAATCATTTGAGTCATGAAAGAATGTTTGCTTAGGGACTGGATTGGAATAGAAACTGGTATGTGACTACCGATTATCAATAGTAAAATAATATTGTTATTCCACGACATATAATAGTTTATTAGTATTTTAAGCCTTGGTCTCTTCTATTGTACTAAAAAAATTGATTTTTTGATGATATAGGTATTTGTCGATTTTTTATAAAAAAAAATAAAAGAAATTAACTATTAGTTCAACTATACATAACATAGAACTTTGATTTTATGAATACCCTCCCGTCTCAAAATCGTCATTAATTTTTAGTACAAATTATACTACAAAGAAAATTCAAATTGCACTATAGTTTAAGATGGATGGAGTATATAGTATTGTCAAATTAGTGTTGTTTTCTTTAGTAGAAGTAACAACTTGATCCGTAAAATATTTGGTTTAATACATATTTTAACTCAAATATGACCAGTTTATAGAAAATCAAGCACAAAACCAAGTTACGTTGTCACATTATTTAAGCAATCGATTCAATAACCTAACACTTGAGTATTCCATAATATATCGTTTAAAGGCTAAACTATAGTTTAAAGTAATAAAAAAAAATGAATTATGATCCGCGTTTAAATTCGAACGTAAACATACATCAACCATTAAATATTTGATACTAAAGTTTCATTTTTGAAAATCATTTAACAAGTTCAAAATCAGGTTAATGAATACAATAACTTGGAACAATGACATGTGATATGTCAAAGAAAATAAATTTTTTTTACGGATTGGTATAAGTTCATGGCCACCCCACACGTAATGTGGTAGTTTGGGTTTTTGTTAAAGCCTTGAAGGAGTATATTTTTAGAAGATAAAAAAGAAATTGAAAAAATGAGATTTGATTGGTGCTGAGTTTGGGCCAGGGTTGGATACAGACAACAAAAATAAAGTGTGTAGGAAATAACTTGAATCTGGGCCGGGGAACCTAGTTTCAGCCCGCCGGCGGAAAACGAAAATTAGGCCATCTTAATTGGAATGGGATTACATTAGAAGAAAGTGACAAACCTTTTCTCCGGTAAAAACGAGGAGATGTATAGGAAATGTGAAAGGACATATCCAAGCTTCGTATACGTTTGAGTGTTATTTAGTACTCCATTTGTCCTATAATTATTGTTCAGTTTGAATTTTCATTTTTAGTACAATTTAAATTAAAAATGAAAATTCAAACTGGACAATAATTATGGGACGGAGGGAGTATTTATTTATTTTGGTTGTTTTCGGGTCTAATAATAATAATAATAACAATACTTGGATAATTCGATAAGGAGGAAAGGCAAGTAAAAAAAAAAAAAAAAAACATGGAACCAATTACATACATACGGAGTACTACACATAAAATAACCATAAAGATGTTACATTAGCAAGAATGGCGATCCCAAGTCACTTGTTGAAAACAGAAGATGGAGGCCAGCCAACCTTCTTCAATCAATCCAATTCCACCCTTCCACACAATGAGACAAATGATTGTGTGTCATTCATTCAATCACATATATCCCCACTTCTTTCTTTTCTTCAATATCCATTCATGTGATTTATCTTTTTTTCCCCTCTTTCCAGTTTCCATCACCACCTCTACCCTACTTTCAATCCCTTTGCCTCAACTTTTTAATCTCAAATTCTCCTTCGTTATTCCATCCAGCTTTTCCTTTTTTAAAAATATACCCAGGAAAATTGGGCATCCCACCAGTAAAGAGAGACAATGGGAACAAAACAAGTACAAAATCATGAAAAGAAATTTTAATTTCATAAAAGCCCTGTTTCTTTTGAGGTTTTGAGAAACCAAGGCCACTACTACATCATCTCAACTTTCCCCGTGCCTACTTTGCATTGGAGAATCTCTCTATTCTACCCATAAAAAGAAAGTGGAACAAGACGAAAAAGATCAAAACTTCACACAAGACACTCCTGCTGCAACCAAAAAAGATGGGATTTTTACTTCTAAACTACACCTAAAAAAAAAAAGCAAGCATGGTGGATAGGTATACAAGGAAAGGAGCAGTCGCGCTAGGAGGAGATCACATTACACTACATTGGATCATACATACACAAGAGAGTAGATTATTTCCCTCTTCTTTTTTTTTCTTTTTTTTTCCCTACGGGTTTACTGTGTTTTATTGGCAATTGGGATTTCTACCAGGGCCTCCAAAGTAAAAGTAATGACCCCAATCCCCGTTGCTTCCAGTCTGAACATCATAGCAATTGGACTGCTCTGTGAAAGTGCCGAGCCCTTTTGGTGACTTAAGATTGTTGGAGCTGTCCACCACTTGAATGTTCCGGAAATAGCTTGATTTACCAAAACCTTCCTCAGGGAAATGGCCACTTCCCATTTGTGTTGTGGTGTGCTGCCCATCCGGCTCTGAATTCACAACTTCCCCACCCCATTCAATCATGCTCGCACTGTCTGCTAAGTAGGAGAACAAGAAGGATGGCCAATACCCTAACACATAGTCACTCCCAAATTGCATCCACCAATTTCCTTCTTTTGGATCCTGCAAAACAAACACAAACATGTGATTAATTGATAAAAGGCTACTTTCTGGTGAACCCCCCCAAAAGAAGAGATTTTTCCTGGTCAAATTATTGGAGGGTTTCTTTCATACAACATAAAAAAGGTGGTCAATTCACAAGTGTGGGAGCACTGGTAAAATGTAATAATAGTGACAAAAAATGTGAAAACTTCTAAACAAAAGCCACTATTGCCACCACATGAGTTTGGTTTCGCTGCCAAGATTCTCTCACCTTTATGAATAAAATAATATTTATTACTTGTGTTCTTCAATTACTTTTTTTTTTCTGCATCAACTATGCATTAAAAATCCATCCTGTTATATCAGGAAAAAACAGAAAGAAGAAGGATGGTACTGATATGAATTTCAGATTATACCTTCCAGACAAGAATGCTGATATCATATTGGGAATTCCTATATGCAGAAACAGGAGAGATGCTTGCACCCATTGCTATTTCACTATTAATTTGAATGAATCCCGAGCACAGCAGATTATAGCAACCGGTAGCCTGATATGCATCGCTCTGCAATTTTGTTGAATGACAAAAACATAAGTAAGAGATCAGTCCTTCCCTTTAGCAGCTCATTCCAAAGGATGAGAGCAAAACTTACAGTCCAGTAAGTGAATAGCCTTGTATTGTTGTCTCCATAAAGGTCCGGGCTCACCTGAAACAGGTTAGAATTTACCTTTTAGCAATGAGATCACAAAATGATAACCCAAATGTTAGTCTTGAGAACATCAAACAGTGATTAGTGCTTGCTAATCAACCAAATGAACCTGCCAACCAGCTTCAATGCTGTTAAGATCCTCCCCAAAGGAGCCACCCAATATCCACAGCTGAGACAAACTGAACTCATTAGGCTGCTGTATTTTTGGTTCCCACACATTTATGGTGGCTTTAGCTCCATAATATTTGTCCCCTTCGACATAAGCTATGGCATGCTGCACATGATCATCAGTGGAACGACATCAAAACCAAAACGAGAAAGATAAAAAGAAGGAAACTATAAACCTTCCTCTCAGAAAACACACTAAGTAGTGTGCCTTTACAATTGATTTCCCATTTTTTATAGCTAGCATGAAAAAGGGTATCCTTTCCCCCATATTCTTTTCACCTGATGGCCACTTTGATTGATGAAGTCTGGATCTGGTGACCGAGGCTTAGGGATGCTTCTGTGCTTCTTCTTTCCATATCGTTTAACAGAGCTGGCTCTCAAAATATCCTCTTCCTTTGTTCTTCTCACAGGTATAGTATCTTCAGGACACCTCCCATTCATGTGCCAAAGCTGAGTAATTGGGTTTGTTCTTTCCTTTTTTGAACCTGATGACGACGACGATACTTTGTTCTCATCAAAAAGCCCTTCTGGGTGGTAAGATGGCCTCATCTGAAATTGTAATTACCCAAAAAGAAATTTATTCCAACAGCAAGTATAATGAAACAAAAAAGTGTATACATAAAGGGGAAGAAAGAAACCAAACCTGGATTTTGTGATCTTTGAGAAATGGATGATCAAAGGCTGGCTGGTGAGAAATGTGTATGCAGTCAATGATGTCTCCATCTGGGCTCTGTTCATCATTCATCACACAAACACAAGCTCAGGCCTCGAAAACATCATCTTTGTTGTATTACTTTAAAGCATACAAGAAGCCTATTTTCTTCCTATGCTTCAAAATCTTTGTTCACAGAGAAAATTACTTCTAAAAACACAAGAAAACGAACTGGAAACAAAAAGCATTTGACACCATTGCGCAGACACATCAGATAAGAGTCATCAATTAAATTTATGATGGCAAAACAGGAGAAAAAAATAAATTAGTGAAAGAGAGAATACAGAACACCCAAAAAATGAGCTTAAAAACAGCCAATCATTGAACCTAAAGCCAAGCTAAATGCTACAGGCACAATATCATTGCAACTTTACCAACCCTCAAAACCCACATTGTAACCGGACCGGTAGAACCACCAGAATTATACCACTTCTAAGCTTAAAAACCAAAGGACATATTTCCGAAAGTAATTTGACAGTTTCAAAATTAGACCACCAAACAAAAATTTCCAAAAAGATACACACACACACACACCACATAAGAGCAAAAAAGAAGAAGAAAGAGTTGGGAAATTGTGGGGAATTACCTGAATGGTTTTAATAGGAGGCTTGTTGAGCCTATTCAAGTGCTTGTGAACTTCAAGCTTCTGCCTTTCCACACCAGATAATCTGCCAGCAGACACAAGAAGGCCAAGCCCACCCAAACATAAGCAAACCAAGAACAACACCACAGTCACCCTCAACGCCACCATGCTCCTCCTCAACCGATGGCAATTAACACAATGGACCACCCAAAAAGAAAAGGGAAAAATCAAAATCCAAACTTTAACGCAAGAATGGAACTAGAAATGCAGGTGGGATTTGGGGGGAAAATGGAAGGATGGGCTGTTGTGGATGCTATCCTACGCCAGGGTGAGGTGAACTCTGCTTAACCTGCGCACCATTACCACACTACCATTTCCGAAAGGGTAGAGAGAGAGAGAGAGAGAGAGAGAGAGATAGAAGTGAGAGAGAGATAAAAAGGTGGGAGTGGAGGGGATTTCTCTACTTTTTACTCTTTTCTTCCTCCCTTATTAGACCCTCTGCTCTGGGAATGCCACACAGCTTTAATTTGGTTGCGATTGGACCTGACCTGACCGGACCCCCACAAAAAAAAAGAAAAGAAAATTGGAAGAAATCAAAATATGAAACAAAGGGGGAAGGGGAGGGAGGGATGGATGAGAAGGGAAATAATTTATTTTATCAGTGGTGCCGCTAGTACAACTAGAAAAGAAAAGAGAGAGCTAGTAAGAGGTAAAAAGTCTATAAAAGCGCTCGTGTCTTTACTATTGCCTGTCTCAGGTTGGGTTTTTCTTTTTTTTTTTTTTGGTGTGTGTGTGCGCTTCTGTAACAATCTGTGTTGGGAATATAAAAATCGTATGTTGTTGGGATGAAAATATTTAGTACTATGAAGGAAAGAAAAAACCTAAATAAATACCATATATATAAAGAAAAAGAAAAGAACAAACAGAGCTAATAAGAGTTTGTGACTACTAAAATATGACAGTATTCATTCAACACGGCTAAATCAACTCTTGTGGACTGTCTAGTAGTGGGGAGTAATTGTTAACGTAATTGATAGGAGGAGTAGTACTAAAGAGTATAGAGAGAGCATATATTATGACAAAATGTCCAAAAACCACAATCAATCAATCTTATTAGTCTGCCACTAATCATCATTTCTCTTTAGCTGCATTGGCTTTATTATCACCTCCATTCATTTTAATTTGGTTGGGTGCGAATTTTTTTGGACCCACCCGAGTATTGAGGCAATTAAATTAAATAAACGCTATTATAACTTTTACATACTGCTAGTCTGCTACTGCTGCTACTACTACTAAAAGGGTAGGAGGATGGGGACGTATAAAGGACAAGAGAAAGGGCAAAAAAAAATTTACTAGAGAAATGGTGGGGGGGGGACACACTTTGGTATGCTTTGTCGTTTTGGGATTGTGGACATTGGTCCTGTCACAATTCACAGTTTCACACACACATACAGTCGCACACCCCATTTTCCCTTGTCATTTCAAATTTTTCTTACCGTTTCTCACTGGCTCCTTTACAGACCACATCTCAGGGCTTTCAGCTTAGTTCAGAGTTCAGACAGATTAATTATGCATGGCAATAGCCAGCCGGCCCCACTTCGCTGTTTATTATTATTTTATTCCGTAGCTACTCTGTGTGTGTGTGTGTGTTGAATGAGAGTATGCATACAGTATACCCGTAGCCGTAAGTATGACCAACAACCAATAGGCAGTAGTAAATGTAAATTCATATGCAAGAAGAAAAGCCAATTTAATCCTATCGTTTGACACTTTGGTTGATGTCATGCCAAAATATTTTAAAGTATTTAATTTCATCTTGATGTTTAATATTTTCGCCAATTTCATCCTTCCCATCATATATTGGTATTTTTTGACAATTGATTTATTCAACCGACCTGTTTATTATTTTTTTATTATTATTTTCAAATTTCAGGACTAAAACGACCAATTAATTAGAATGATTAATAAATTTCATTTTTCAAAAAATGACAAAAAAATTACGTGACATCATTAATTTGTTTAATTACTATTCAAAAATACGAAACATATTTTTTTTCTTTTGTGGGTCTTGTATTGAATCCTTAAATAAATAAGCTAAACTATATTTTGTTTCTTTATTCTCTTTGTTTTCCTTTTTATAGTATCACTGTATCTGTTTAAGTATGGTATTAACAAAAAATAATTATGTAGCATTATAATAAAATGACAATGGCATTATAACATTCTATTAGTTTCAACTAAGGAGCGAAAGACAATTATATAGTAAATAATTATATATAATTTTACAATACTACTGTCATTTCATTTGGTGCTTGGAAAACGACCATATAATTTGATTGAACTCTGGTAAAAATATTGCACAACCGATTATATTTTGGTGCACACAAAATGAGAAATCTTGGTTGTATTCTTGTGCATATATATTGCATAAAAGTTCAGTCTATAATAGGTTTAAACAAATGTAGCAATATATATATATATATATATATAAGAAAATAAAGAATCTAAATGCAGTTTAGACTATTTATTTAAGTGTTCAATGCAAACCCATAAAGAAAAGAATACACATTTTTTCATCTTTTTTCAAAAGTAATTAAAATAAATAATGATGTCACGCAATTTTTTATCATTTTTATAAAAACTAATTAAGTTTTTAATCATTCAAATTAACTGGCCTTTTAAGTCCCAAAGTTTGAAAAAAATATAAAAATAAAAAAAAACAAGCTAGTTGACTAAGTCAATTATCATAAATTACTATTCCCATTGTCCCACAAAAATAGTCAAATTTCAAAATATACAAATTTTCTAATTTGGTCATCCATATCAAGTTACTACAACTTATTTTAAGGTTTAAACTACCATTTATACACCTACTTATCTCATTCATCAATCGTCAAAAATTTGCAAACCAGAAACGTTTCTCCTCTTCTTCGCCGGAGAAGACATCACAACCGACGTTCAATTCAGCCGACTATAACTCCATGAACAACCATTGAATTCACTACCAAATCGACTTTCCCTTCCCATCATCTTCTCTCTGTTTCCCGAAAAATCAACAATAAAAATCATGATTTTCAACATAAAATCACATTAAAAATAGGCTATGTACCAGTTATCTATCTGCCTTCTTAAACGACAAAAAGAAGAGAAGCATAAGCCCAAAAAAAAAAAAGAAGAGAAAACAAAGCAAATCTAAATCTAAAGGGGCAAGAGAAATCAACTACTTGATTTTGATGTGTTGTGGATTTTGTAGCAAAGACGGAAACTACGGAGGAGCTGTTCCAAATCGGAAGGGCCATAGTGATTAAAACTACAAACCTCTGCAAAGAAGAATCTGAAGAGTCACCGGCGGGCGGCGGCGGTGGCTCACTTAGAGAGCTTGGTGGCCGCATATTAGTTTTGGAATGCGTCTACTTTGATCTGTTTAAATTTGACAAAAGGTTATAACTTTTAAGGCTAGTTCGATCATTTCAATTAAATTTGATTTTGACTTTATGAAATTTGACTATTTTTTTGGGATAAGATTTTTATGAAATTAGATTTTTTTTTGGGACGGAGAAATTGTGATCGGAATGATGAAATCGGCCAGAATGTTAAATATTGGGATGAAATTGACTATCTTAAAATATTTTGGGATGAAATTGACAAGAGAGTCAAACTTTAAGATTAAATTGGCTATTTTTCAGCTGGAAAATACTAATTCATGACCGAAAAGATGAAATTGGTCAGAGTATTAACATCATGATGAAATCGACAAGCTTAAAATATTTTGAGATGAAATTAAGGCTAAATCGGCCTTAATATGCATGAAGGAAACTCTTTATTAATTTGTTTTGATTCTCAATATTAATTGGTAACTTGAGTTGATCTCAATTGAAGATTATCAGCATGTTCTTATGACTAGTTGGCTTGGCAGTCTTCACATCTCTTTCAGAATTTTTGCATTGTAACGCCTCAATCGGAATTGAAATTGTTGTAATCAAACAACTTTATCCAAACACCAGCACATATGTTAGTTCGAAATAAGTTCGATCGGCTATTAACCATGTTGAATAACAACTCTCTTATGTATCAATCATAGAAATAGAGTGAGAGTGAGAGTTTCATTAAAAAAAAAAAAATGAATATCATGACACTCAATCTGTCTATCACTTAGACCGTCACTTTAAAGAAATATATAACTAGCTAATATACCAAAATTCCAAACGAGTGATGTGTACTCTCGATCGACGTATAGGGCCAAAAGAGGTAATAAGAGATTTTTTATTTTTTTTTTAAATTTCATTTTAGCCTCTAAAAACACACACACTCACATAAATACACACGTACACACACACACACATTATTTTTAATATTGTGGATCAACTTGTGAAGGTGTGTGGATCATCATCATAAGTAGCTAGAGAGATGGTCACGATTCATTCATGTGGAACACTAGTATAAGGGAATCCGCCGGAATCCCAACTTGGTGGCCTTGTAAAATTAAAATTTGGGCAGTGAAGTTGTTGGGGTCCCTCATTGCCCTAATACTCCAAGAATCCATTCAGTTGGAGGAATCCAGCAGAATCCTTGCATCATTTTTTCACCCAAAATTAATTAATTACTTAGTCTTGGCCTTTCCTTTCCTTAATTTTAACTCCAAAATAAAGCAGATAATACATACATGTTTTTTTTTGTTTGTTTAAGGTTCCACTTGAACAGCACACATGCAGCAATGAGTAAGATTCATTGCTGCATCATGATGAGTAGAAGAAGAGAAAATGCATCATGATGCTTAATCCTCAACAGCTAATTAAAACTAATGGATAGTGTGTAGACAAAGATTTTAGTACTCCCTCTATTCTAAAATAAGTGTGGTTTTAGCAAAATAGAGAAATTTCAAAATAAGTGTCGTTTTCGGATTTTAACGCATTTTTTGTCAAAAATTTTCAAACATACCCTCAAAAGAAATAATATTATTAGTGAACATTTATTTTAATGGGGTTAGTTGAAGATATTCTAGTAATTTAGTTACCCTATTTAAGTGTTTTTTAAACTGTGTATAAACTCTAAAATGACACTTATTTTGGAATAAAGAGAGTATTATTATTATTATTTAATTATTATTTTTTTTGTAAAAACCTATATTCGGTTACGTTTTTTTTCTTTTTGTGTAACATTCGTCCATCTATCAACAGAATATATAAGAAAGAATACACTTAAAAAAAAAAAAGAAAAAAAGAGGAGTGATTAAATAATTATTGGAAATCGATGCATTTGGTGGTGTGATGATAGAGTGAGTAGTGGGAGAAGCCAGAAGTGGTCAAAGGTGGTGGAATTTAATCCACTAGTACACATTAGTTGGTCAATTTCTGCACATTCCCACATCCCAACTAGTTAGCACTTAGTGGCAGTATTACAATAATTATTAATGACAATTTAGAATGGTAGCCCAATGTTGTGTGGTTTGGCAGCGAGAAGGTTGGGGGTGGGAAGGATGGGGAGGGGGGAAGGGAGATGAAAATTGGAATTACACAAAGACACAAAACCAAACAAAAAAAAAAAAAAATAGGTCTTGAAAATTAACTTGATTATCTAAAATATTTTTAATGTTTAAAGAAAACATATATAAAAAAGGAAGTTTTAATCAGCAAATCAATTATCAAAAAGATGCTCCAACAACTGAAATATTAATGTATGTTCAGTTCAAAAACAAATACATATAATAATTAGTTTTAGATTATTTGTGATATTAAACGTAATTAGTTTTTCTGTTCCAAATTGATTGTGGAGTTTAGAGAATTTTTTTTTAAAATGTTGTAAAAGGGAAAAAATCAAGCTTGACAAATCGGTAGTGAATGAAGGTGACAAAAAGATTTGGGAGGCAGGAGAAGATAATGAGATGGGAACCAAACGACTAACTAAAGAAGATGCAAAAAAAAACAATTACCCGTGAGTCCGTGACAGAGGTAGTAGTATGTGAGGGCACCTCACCGTTTTAACTTTTTAACCCCAACCCACCCCACTGTACTTACTACTACTTTTACTGCTGAACCCAAAAGAATCAAAATGATGATGATGATTTATTATGGAAAAAGATTCCAGACCTCTCTCTGC